CAGCCAAGGCTGACGGTGCACACTTAAAACGCAGTCTCTAGAGAAAATTGTGGATGGAAACGGGGCATTTAAAAAAGCATCCCAAGGAGAGAATATGAGCAAGATGATGGGAGATAGTGGCTGAAGTACTATAAAGACAGGAAAAGAAATGAGAGAGAGAGAGTGGAGAAGGAGACTGTCTTTTATGCATGATTGCCTGTCCTGGGTATTTGAAGCTCTTTTGAAATGAAAAAATAGAGAAAGAGAAAAATGCTGAAAGAGTCCATCAATCTGTCAGTGTGGCTGTGTCTGAGTAGGGCTTTGTAGGTTGTAAATAACCAGACTGACTGTAAGTGGTGACACAGAGGAATTGCTACCATTGCTGTCAAGCTTGATTCTGACTCCAGAGATTCACCTCGTATCCTGAAAACAAAGAGGGAAGACCTCTTATCTACAAAGTGGTTATTTACAGTGAGCGTACATGAGCACATATGTTTTGCTTTTTCAAAGGACTGTAGTTACTTCACTTGTTTTACTGGCAAAATGTAATTTTCAGAAGCAGCAATATTAACTGCGCCCACATGTTATACATGTTTCGGGAGCTCTTCATGGAGACAAAAGTCCAAAAGTTTATTTGATCTACAAGTATTTGAGTGGTACTTTCAGATTTTTTAAAGAGAATTTTGGGGAAAATTGTTTCCACTGGCACTCATGTTAGATTTTCGACTATTACAGAACAATGTTTGTGTTCCTGTTGTCATTAAAAATCCAAATTCTAAACACCTCTTTAAAGCTACCGGTAGTAATGTTTTACTTAAAATCTGACCTGAGGAAGTTACAAATACAACTCCATTTCAGCCTTTGCGTCCTTTTGATACAACATGAATAAATTTGTTCCAGTAGGCCTATCTTTTTGGTGGAATTGTATGATGCCACAGTATTTTCTTTTGCGGGAAATCTGTTGGGAAATATCGGAAAAGTTGATCCGTCTAGACGAGCCTGCTTGAAATCCCCCAAGATGCAGCCCACGCAGATTCTTTTCTAACCCATCCCGTCCTACTCAAGATGATCAACTATTACAGAAATAGACGCAATCGGCTTATTCCAGAAAACAGGTTTCTATAAAAAGAATGGCGAGAGCTTAAACATGGCCTCTTGCCAATCTGCGGAATTAGAGAGTGCTCGGACAAACATTTTGTGGAGATTCCTTTGACAAAGATAGCAGAGTTTTTGAGTGAGCATCTTTAAAATTACAAAACCATTTTCAGAAAAGGGCAGTTTCACATGTTCAGGGTAGCATTATTTTTGGGTCACCCCACATGTCATCTAGAGGACCAAATGTACACAAGATGCGTTGCTGTCTTTTGCTTCACCAAGATGAAGTGAATAAAAAAACCATGTCCTAATCACAGCAGAATGACTCCTCAATAATGCCAATCAGATTTAAAATCCCCCTGGATGGCTAACAATAAAAAACCGAGTACAATGCACATGTAGTCAATTGCGCACAGGATAATTCATCATCAGCATGGGAATATTCATCTACCTCACCCGTCATTCTATTCCTGTCTCAAGTGGCGTACAAGGATGCGATGTTCAACCAATTGATGAAGTACGAAACCCAATATGCTTCACATATAGACAGTTTGGCACCGATTGGAGATTTTCATTTTTTGCTCTTTCTTTTCCAAATTATATTTTTCGTATTTTGAACTTCCATCTCCGGGGTGTATTTGAGTATGTATAAATCACCCAGTATTTAAGTGCATTGTTTTTGTCAGAGAATACTTGTACATGCCGCTATTCAAGTTTTTGATTAATTTGTATTTGGGGATTGAGAGTAAATTGAAATGATGGATGGGGTTGCTGTGGGTAATTTTTGACACATTGAGAGATGAAGTCTGCCCCAAAAATGGGGGGGGGGGGGGAAATAAAACTGGAAAAAAGAAAATATGTGCCTGTGCTCTTTCTTTTTTACCTTAAAGTCGAAGCATTCAGATGGTTTTTTTTTTGCATAAAGATTGTACAGCAAACTTTTTAGAAACATTCAAAACTGCTGAACACTAGGAATTATCGGAACAAATATTAAAAGTGACTATAATGGTCTGATATTCTGTAGATCCCTGCAGAATTTTCCACCGTGACTGGACTGATTGTTAAAGGGTCCTGAAGAGTGACTCTTACGGGTAACTTGAACATACAGGTATCCATTTGGGAAAATGGTCTGAAGGTAAATGTAAACGATTTAGTGTGAGATTACCACATAAATTAACACTTTCTACATATCCCTCCCCCCCAAAAAAATCCCCTGAACCAACCAATGAGAAGAACCTTCTTTGTTTGTTGTTTGATATTTGTGTTTGTTATTCCTCTAAATTTTCTTGCCTGAGTTGGATGTTTACTTGTATTTGAAAGGATTGATAAAAAAAGTCCACAAGTCGACTTTTTTTCTTTTTTTTCTTCAAAATCTGCGAATGCATAATGGTATTAAAAGTATAGACTCTGTGCACTAGTACCCCCTCACTTGTTCCAAAGAGAGAGGTGGAGACCCCTCAGAGATGAGATTTGAACGCACTGCGGACGACGCCTGACGCTTACACGAAAACACCACGGTTTGTACACCTTCAGAACAAAATAAGCCACGCATACTGGTGCTTAATACAATCATGAAGCGGTACACGCATTTGGCGTGTCACTCCCGGTGGGGCTTTCGAAAGTGGACACAAAGCACAGAGTCCGTAGGATGTTTTATTGATCCACTGAGTTGATGTCGCGCCATTACTGATGTCGCTGAAAGCAAGTTGATTAATACCATTAGTGTATTGGTCACATGACCAGTCTTAATCTGGACACAATTGTGCACAGTGACTGCCACGGTGCAGTAATCAAGATATCACCACCTGATCAAAAAGGAGCAGTCATTGACAGATGGCTTGTCCGAACCTTTCAATAATGTAATCTCATTACACTGTACAAAAATAGAATCTAAAAACACTTTTGTTGATACATTTGCATTTTTTTGTGCATGTTGACGTGGGAAAATCAAACATTTTTCAGCATGACTTCAATACACAATTAATACAAGCTAAAATAGTCTGTATAAATTTGTAAAGCATTTTCTACTTTTGTACACAACACTGTGTTACATGTAATACATGTACACTGTATAATAAACTAAGTTTAATTTACATGTAAACCAAGAAAACAAAATATGCATACTTATGTGCATTTAAATGTTTTAAAATTTGCAGCTGCTGTCATGTACAATGTATGTACACATCGTATAGAGAGGAAAAAGTAAGCATGAACACGAACATGTTCATGTATACACTGGTACTTAAGGTTTCAACTGGAGACATTCTTTGTAGTCATTAAGAAAAACAAATTACCAACTTCAGTTCCCATTTGACATCCAATTGACAACAATTTCATGTAAACTGAAATGCAATCATAAATGTAAATGTCACAGGCTTTTATTTCTAACAGTGGACGACGTGTAATCAAGGACCTGTATGGGCAGTGAATTGAGTTCTTATTCCCCAGTATTGAAAGATAAGCTCAAAATCAATTGGTTCTGAACGAAGTTGTCTTAGGTTTCTGGATTGGGGGGGGGGGGGGGGGGAGTAGAAATGTAGGTCTCGAGACATTGGAGAAATGGAACGTCTTGGATAGGTCAGCTGCAACATTTGCTGAACCAGTAACCCAGTACATGCCTTCATTACCTGATGAAATAACTTGATCTGCTTGAAGGTTTGCACTTTACAGGCTCCACGCAGTTTGTTTTTTATTGTGCTTTGTTGCGGATGTGTTTTTGTGCTATTTTTGTGATGATGTCAAGTGAAAAGGACCACTGTACAGTACCACGCCCATACGTTATTCTTTATGTTCCTCTATACTGAGATCTACACTAGTTAGAAAAAATGATTACATTTGAATTTTCAAATGTACATTACAATTCGCATATTTGTACAGGGCAGTTAAACAATGTCTTACTTTAATACAAGTATATGCCATACACAGTTCAATATGAGCGGAACATACATTTTGTACACAGTTCATATGAACGGTAATATACCACTGTGCGAGTAACTCGATTACTGGTACATGTACTTGAGAGTAGTTTATGCTACTCAATGTACTTTTTTTTTTTTTATCTACTCGAGTACTCGTCCTGGCGTGAGTAGAAGCAGGTACTCGCGAGTAGCAATTAAGGGTTTAGTTCTAGGGTTCATGGCTTAATACGTCCCCTGCAAACAGGGAATCACTCGCTCTACCTCTTTCTCTCTGGGATTCCATTCGTCCAAAAAAAGAGAAAAATTCAACTTAATGACCCAAAACATCGCACAGTAAGGATATCTCAGTGCTTAAGAATGTGGTGATTTGCAAGCTATTTGCTTGTAAGTTACTTCACGTCATACTGACGCATATATCATTTTTCTGCTTTGGGAATTTGGTTAACTACTCGTGAGTACCCGACTGCTCACAATTTTTTTGCGAGTACTTGAGTAGAAAAATCCACTACTCGCCCAGGCTTAATTCATATACTACATGTATAGAACTGTACACGATGGTAGATCTATGGGGAATGTTTATATAGTGGGTTTAATTGAACCCGTCTCTAGCACCGCAAAAATTGGAAAATAACAGGAAAAACAATACCAGATGCTTGTTAACCCCCCCCCCTCCCCTTTTTGACAGCTAAACTCCCATCTTGAGCCAAAACCTAGATCCGCCTCTGGTAGAGTTTGTGTGAACGAATCATAACTCTATGTTATGTTTTTACAATAAAGGCGAAACCATGATATTTTGTTCAAGTAAAATAACAAGTACATGAAGTACACAGTGTATAATATTAATAGTGTTCAACAAAGTTCTTGCAGGTTCAGGACTGCAGTCTCCTGAGGGCGCCCTCTCCTTATACCTGGTTGAATCCAGGGGTATCACCCTTCACATTGCCACAAGTTTGCTTTCCTTACATTCGCAAATATTTTAAATTTTCCTCCTTTTATTCTGTCTTTTAGGTGTGTGGGTGCAGCAAGGAGCAGTACCTCATGCTTCGGCAGCGTGTGGAAGAAAGCAAGCAACGCATTACGTTGATGGAGAGCGAGTTCCTACAGAGCACGCTGTACACCGAGAATGAGCTGGACGAATGCAGGGAGGAGCTCAGGCTGTCGCAGCAAAGATACAATGCGTAGGTTTCTGGTCTCTAGTTTTGATTTTTAAACCACATTTTCATACAGACATTTTACAGTCCTGCAGGTTAGGATAGACCTTGACGTGCATGAACACAAAATGGCCTGAAAATGGTCGGAGAACACATCTCGAAAGGCGACTCATCCCACTCAGATCCCTAAAGCTTCACCAGGTATGGGAGGTTTGGCATGCACACTGTGAAGGCCCCGTACATGATGGGCATGGGTCGATCATTCTACAGTGTGTCTCAGAACAAATGCAAACAAAATATAACAGAATGCCAGACGCCGAATGTTTAACCAACATAGGTAATATAGGTATGGTTTGAAAGATACACCTTTCCTCTTTAAAATGAGACATCAAACATCCAAATCTGATAATTGTTGACAGAGTTATTAGTTAATTTCCAAGAGAGGTCAAATTGACCATGGGACCAAGTTTTCAAGAAAAAAAAAACTGTGCTTAGCAAGTACTTTTTTCTTGCTATCAGTTTGTAAACATGTTTACCAGCTTAACAGACGTGTCCAATTCCTAAACATCGATTTTCAATGCCTAAACAGTACACTATCCGTCCTCATGCTAAAAAATGTTTAGCATGTAAACTGTTTTAAAACTGATAGCAAGATAGTGTTTAGAATCATGTTAACTCGCTAAACACATCTTTTGTCGGCCAGGCAGTTATCCACACAGAGGCACTTAGGCTTGCTTTATATAGTCCCAATGCCTAAAATTGAAAACTTGGTCCCATGGTAAATTTGACCTCTCTTGTAAATTTACTCATAACTCTGTCAAAAATTTATCAGTTTTGGATGTTTAATGTCTCATTTTAAAGTAGAAAGGCGTATCTTTCCAATCATACCTATATTGTCTATGTTGGCTACACATTGCACGTCTGGCATTCCGTTATATTTGTTTGCATTGTTTTTGGAGACGCACTGTATAGATTTCTGGATGCACACGCTAATGTGTGCTTCCTCTCAAAAAAATTTGAGTGAAGCAAATGTCTTATTTTCTCCACGTTTTGGGTCATTTTTAGCATGACCCAGAGGTAACAGGGACAGGAAAAAATTGTCACACTTGAGACCTTAAAGTTGTAGAATGACCCATATGTGAATCGGATCTTAGTAATTGCCGCTTGCTTCCCGGGTAGAACTCAGAGGATTCACAAAAAATGCCCAAAGAGTTTACTGTACTGATAAGGTAAGTGAATGGTGTTTGTTCGTACGTGACCTTCACATTCGCTAGCCATTCATGAACAAGTTACAACTTATACTTTTTCTATTAAGGCCAAAAAAAAAAAATTATTCTTCCGGTTACCCGACCGTCCCTATTTTTAGGCTGCGACCCAACAAATGTTATAGGCAAGTCAGAAAAATGAACATAACAATAAATGAATAAAACAAAAACAAAAACAAACTTTTGTCTTTTCTGTCTTCCCAAAACACCTCTCAACAACTCTTTTGCGTCAAAAATGCTGGTATTTATTTGTTTGCGGACAGTTTTGGCCAGTTTCCCGTCATGACTAGCGTTGTGCACGACCTGATTTGTCCATTATTGTTAGGAATTATCAACCGTAAATATTTTAAGTTTTAATCACTTTTTGTGATCATGTTTTTGCATAGCTTTCTTAGTGCATGGAAATAGTTCAGGCTGAAATTCGCATATAATTGAATACCCCATTCAATCAGCACAAAAAAAATTGGCAAAAAAAAAAAATATTCCGACCGACTGACCCTGTTTTTGAGAGGCATGTAACCAGAAGCAGAAATTTTTTTTTTGGCCTAAGGGATGATATTCGAGCTACATGTAGTGGGTTTATTTGCTTTGACTGTAAATTTGACAGCATGATTTCATTGATTTGGCTCTGATATTGTGAACATTTTTAATGCAAGCGTGTTCTACAGCTTCCTGTTTGTCGTAGATCAAAGCTAAGAAATGTGAGTTCGTTTTGGATGAAAAAGCACAGTTGTTTTTCAAAACGGGAAAAACAAAATTTAACATTATACTTTCTCAGGAATTTCAGAAGGGTATGACCATAATTCCTGCTGCAGGGGTACCAGGGAGGAAGGAGGGAGTATCGACAATTCCAAACGATTGATTCTTGCAATCTCATTAAGAACCCTTCATGTCCGGCCATTTCATAAAAAAAAACACCCCCTCCCCTCTACCTCCCGGGCCTCGGAGATACATTTGTTCAGGATTCCTCACGCCAGGCTGAGCACATTTCCCATTCCTGCGCTCCAATGTTCCTGCACCTGTCTCGGAGCCTCCCAGACATGTTCACCTCGCTCCGCCGCATCTATATTAGTTCGCCCCAGAGCTCATTTGACATGGAAAGGATGGTGTCTCCTTCTTTCCACGATCCCGCACACCCTACGCGAGAGGCGCAAAAGGACACCACCGGTTGCTCCAAGCGAAGAACAGAAGACCTGCGCGCCTATCCCCCAACATGATTTAGAGCTTTCCATGCATACACCGTGCCCTTTTTGTTAACACAGAAGTTAATGAGCATCTCTGTCGCGGATCATGAAGCATTCATGTTTGATGTGGAGGGGTTAGAATTGCCACTTCAAGAACGGAGGTGTAGAGTAACTTTGCCTCGCAGGAATTGGAAAAAACATCAATCTTATAGTGCATTGCCTTTCCTGGTGACATTTGCATTTCAGGGTGTACTGTCCACAATGCACATTCATGTAAGCATCTGCTTGCTCAGTTGTGCATACTCCCCATGGATGATGCTCACACCAACACGTCGTGCGCTTGTAGAAACTAAAATGAAATGTGCATAAAAGTACATAACTTTACTTGTGGAAATGCCTGTATTTTAGCAGACGATGACTCGTGTGATAAAGGATCATGCATCCCTCGGCTGTTAATTCAGAAATATCTCCCACATCGGAGAAGTCGTCGAATGTGTGTGCACTGTCATCTTTGGTTATAGTGAACGTTCTTGCCAAACATTGAAGTTTCATTTTCAGCATGAAATGTACATGTACTAGAACTTTGTGAGTGGTACATTTACATTTAATACATGAATGGCAGGATAAACCTGTCAATCTTTTAATGCTGTTTTGTGAAGACTTTTTTTGAAATATTTTTTTCAACAGTTATAAACTGCATACATGTACGTGCACCTTTTCTTGAGTTAGATGCCATACCAAATGGTAAACAGTGCAGGTTGCCTACAGTTGAAAAAACCAAAACACACACACGATTTTGGAGGAAATTGCCCCATTTCACCCTGGATACGTGTAAGAAGTATTGCATGATAATTGATTAATTGTTACCTACATGTACATGTAACTTACATGTACATGTATATGAAAAACAAAAAAGATCTCTGAAGGTTACATGTACTTAAGTACCTGTCATGTCTGTACATGTACATATACCGGTACATGTATGTGTGTATATATACATGTATGGGATAAACCTTAGAACAATTTTAACAGACTACATTTTGCATACATTTTTTGTTGTACATTTGTACGTGCTGCAGTAAGTGGTCACGTTCTGTTCTTTGTTCACAAATTAAAACCCTTCAAAGTTCAAATGCTATTCCCCTGGTGGAAATTAGATTTGATAAATTAGCTTTCGATGCTGCATTTCACAAATATCAGTGAGTTCTGTAAAAAAAAAAATCACCTCATACATGCACATACAGAGTACTCTTCATGAAAGCGTTTGCAAAGTAATGCTGAAATCATACTCTGAACTTAAAGGTATACATATAGTCCATCATTTGTAATTTGTGCATTTTGTTCGTTTGAAGCAACAAAAGTGCTAAATATCTGAAGAAGGGTGCTCAAAAACCAATCTGATTTTCGAGAAAAATAACATTCTAGGATCTCGATTTCAAATCAAAAGTTGCTGAATCATGTTTTGAATTGGGCCTGAATCCAGCGTCCGAGACACATTCTCACTAGCCGATTGCAGCTACGCTATGCCACGCACTGATCCGACGAATTATAGCAACTGCGTGTGCGTCGTGCCAATGCTTGTGCGCGCTTCGCCGAATAACAAAACGAACTTACTAATTTGAATTTCCTACGGTGCTTCTTAAGAAGCACCGTTGGAAATGCCTTCTTTTGTTGATTTCTTCAAAATGACAGCTTGCCAGAAAGAATAATTCACAGGGAGTTTAGTCCCCTTACTATCTTTCAACCAAGTATGTTTTTCAACTATAATTACGCCATTTACTTTTTGGATGGCTGCAAATGATGGACTCTGGCTTTAACATAAGGTGACACTTTGTACAAACATACAATGCCAAACAAGCATTTACAAATTCTCCAATAACTACCGGTACACGTAAATATAATACACAACGTAAATCTCTTTGCATCTTTTTTAGGTATAAGTGTATATTTCTTGCACACGGGGTGACCCCCCAAAATATGTAACCCTAAAACATTTGCCTTTAAAAAAAAGGGTTGGTGGATTTTTATGTTTTTGGTATCAGATTGAAGCTGAGAGCTTTTTCTTTCAAATACTGAAGAAAAAAAATCATGAAAATAGCACTTTGGGTTGCTGAGAAAATGCCAGGTATGTAAAAGTGGTCATTTTTCATCCTGTACATTTACACAAAACATTTCCACAGTAAGGGATTTTCACTGTACCTATTTGTGCATGTCCTAATCCTTACAAACAACATGGCACATTAATATGACAAGAGTACAAATGACTTTGATGGAAATACCTATTATTTTCAACCTGAACAGGTATCTCATCCTTTTTAGTCCTATTTTAAACCCTTTTAGCATCATAAACATGATAAATATGTAAAAATTCTAAAGAAATTGCACAAATGAAGGATAATTGCACAGAAGGCTTACAGAAAAATATTTCACTGTTTGAAGTACATGTACTTGTCAAGGATGAAAAATAACTACATTTACATAAGTGGCATTTTCTCAGCAACCCAAACTGCCATTTTCATGATTTTTTTCCAGTATGTGAAAGAAAAAGCTCTCAGCGTTAAACTGATACCCAAAACATAGAAATCCACCGATCCTTTGTTTTTTTTAAAAGGCAAATGTTTTAGGGTTGCATTTTTTTGTCACCCTGTACACGTACACCAAAATTTTAGTCCAAGCAGCAATTTGTAGATTATCCGCTTTGAATTTCTAGATTGATAGCCCTGTTTAATGAAGACTTTAACACTAATGGGACCACAAACAATGGCCAAATACGAATGGCCCACCTGCGTATTATGTCAACACATATTGAAAGTACAATATGGTTGCAAGGGTCAGGTGGTGTCATTACGAATGCGTTCACTGCCGTATAACTGACCAGTTGATAAGTAACTGACCAGTTCCGAGGTATTTTAAGTCCGAGGTATTTTTAATAAATGACATAAGTCGGCAAATGGTTTTTAATGACATGCACTTTATGACTATACTGATTGTTTTGACCATTTGTGGATGTATTTACATTGGACTTGTCCTTGCTGAATGCTTTCCCTAAATATTCGCATGTATGCGTATGCAAATATGTGCCTCGTCAGAAGTAAATATGCGATTCAAAAGCAGGAGAAAGAATGGGATTCAACCATCCTTTTGCCCATCTGCGAGTTATCAGCTTGTTGTTTGTTCATGTGCTCCTGAGGCTGCCTTGAAATAACACCGTTAAAAAAAGGGACAGATTGGAAAAGAAAGGAGAAGAAAGCGAGAGACAGCTGTTTGTTATTGAACATAGAGCCTCCGAGCCACTCCAGACAACATGTTTTTCTTTCAATTATTTGACAAGCTCAGCATTTACATGTAGTCGCCAAAACCGTGCGAGCAAAACGCACTTCAACATGAGCTTGTTTACAGGGAAGGGAGAACACCTCATTAGAAGGAAATACTGAGATTGTCAGGCGGCGAAATCCAAGCTTGCGTCAATATTTGATTTATTGTAATGTGGCGTGCAAAACTAGAAAATTAAGAGCGGGTGAGGAAACTACTTGATTCTGGTCATTTAATAATGCGAGAGGGAGATAGACTTCATAACGTGTTTGTTTAATCATTAACGGCAGCCGCAGCGAGCGCTTTGCCGTTTTGTCAAAATGTCAAACTGATACCATGAATTAGGCATGAAGTGTGAAAAAAATAAAGAAAGTGCTTGAAAATTATTATGTGTAGGTGTGTTTTTAAAAAATATTTTTCTTGGTTTCCGATGTTGATGAGTTAAGCCACAGATTTGGTTTGTGTTACTGTCTAACACTGGCATTTTCATTTCATGAGAAGATTAACCCTCCCACGCAAACATACATTCTGTGCCAAGTACAATGTAGTCCATTCAGTCAAAATCAAACAAGTGACTGTTTTCAACATTTAAGAATGTTCAGCCTACATGTACATAAAGCAAGATTGACTGACTGGGACTGTTTAAGTAACTTGATACAGCTATGCTTTGACTCTGGGCGAGTGATCAAACAGCTGTGACCACATCTTGCCTGCTTTGTCTGTTCATGGTCTGTTGACTGAGTTCGACTAGTCACAGTGCGCTTGACATATAATCTGACTAACCTTTGTTACAAGTATTGCAGGGGAAGTGGAAGTGAATTTTGACTGTCTGTGACTGTTTAAATCTCAGGAGGGTTAAGATACACATGTATGCATTAAGTGAAACGCTTGCTCCGGTCACTGACTTCTTTTGATATTTCATTGCATGTAATTATATAAATAAACATGTGTGCATGTATTACAATTGGCCATAATTTTGTTTCCAGTTGTCAACAATAAAAGTGCATGCATCCACTTCCGGACCCAATTTCTCGGAGGTAAAACGAAAAGCACATTGCTCTATTAGTTAATGCAGATAGCAAAAAAATATTTAAAAAATAGGAATACCTTTTAAAAGTCAACATCAATTGTTTTTTTTTTTAGCTGGAAAGGTGTTTTGCTGAGTAGATTGTTTCTATGCAAAGCAGATTGAAATCCCAGTATTTTGCAAAAATATACACACACAAAAAACCCTGCCGTTCAATTTAAAATTCTGCTTAACCTGCTTTGTGCATCGATGTATTCATTTCTCAACAAGAACTCAATTTCGTGGATACTAACAATGGTTCTTGTTTTGTTTGTGCAGTACGGCACATGAAGAACTGGACGGATGGATTTTTACATAAAATAACCCCCCCCCCCCTAAAAAACCCACAAACCATTAACAACAAAAACAATTAGAATTTCAGGCATGCAACTTTTCCTTGGATCCGCTGAATTCCTCGTTTTTTTTTACTTCTCATGAATGCCATTACAAATTGAAAAATACTGTACAAAGTCTTACATGGTATGGAGTTTCCTCGTTTTTTCTAAATTCCCAATTGCATGCCTGGAATTTAAATTGTGGCCTCTTCTTGTTGAAATCTTGTAGGCACATTCTCTTGGAAGTCTCTGGAATCAAAAGAAACCTCAACAGAATTTGTTACCAACTAAAAGTCAAGTATTTTTTTAAACAGTAGTCACATGTATAATGCACTGTGTTCAAGTGCTTCGAGTGGAGCACAGCATGCATTTATCGACAGAACTTGGAGAAAAAACATGGATGCTCACAAAACGTGCTTTGGAAACTGATGAGAATGATGCATCATTGAAATTGGATTCAAGTCGCACTCTGTTAAAGCATATACATGCATGTTAGGAATCCAACAGGACATCATGGTGACATGTGCATTGACCGGATATGCTTGTAGTGTGCGATGTACGTAATTGAATTTGTTCTGGAAACCAGTTCTGTGCGGAGGTATCTTTTGCGTCGTAAGTGATCCTACACGGCACGAATTCGTGAACGTCGTCGGAAAATCTGAATTGCATTGTGCCCACCATCAATTGTGGGAATCTTTTAGCCTGAATACATGCACTGTGATAATTGAGTTCTAGGTTACGCACATTACACACATTAAATGCTCTGCATGCGTTACACTGTACAACAATTGCTGGTGCTGTAGTTTTCAGAAATAGATGGATTTGGGAGTTAGAATTTTATAGGAAATATTGTTACACTGACCTGTTTAAAGTTTTGTGTTCTTAGATGCTAAAAAAAAACCAAGAAAAAAAATGTTTTTCTTGATGTCTGTTCCCTGACTCTACTTTAGACGAAACAGAGCAATTTATAGACGTCAGGAAATTTTCAGGTCAGGGAACCAGACTATCTGGCTTGCACCCGTTCACAAAACCGATTGCAAACAAAATCTGGGCTAAGTAAATTTGGTGATTAGGGACAATATTTGAAAAAAGTCAGTTTTGTCTGCAACGATGGTTGATTGACCATCGTTGGAAATTGATACAAAAATTATGCTTTTCTTGAAAATGACAGCACACCAGGTGCCATGATTTCACAGGATGCTTGAGACTATTATTTACAGTCAAATAAGGTATTTCATATTAGTTTGGTAGTTTTTTTATGTTTGCAAATGTTGTATACTAACTTTAACACATTGGGTATGTCATGATTTAAGTTACCTGTTTGGCCTCTGATAGGTATCATTTGGGGTTGATTATGCATAGTGGTCAGAGTTGACCATCCTGCAGTGTGGTTGTAATTGCCCCATCTGTGGTCCACAAACTTCTCATTTGCAATATGACCGTAACGGATGGAGCTCTGTGTAAAATCCCTAAAATTAATCTAAGCAATCCACAAATGATAATTCATGAAATCTTTGAATTCATCAACATTCACAAATGTTCAGAAAATAAGTTATGTTTTTATCTTCTCTGTTCTAATCATTGCAGATTGGAAAAAAGTCATCAGGAACTTCACGAGATAAACAGTGATCTGGAGGAGAGGATTCTCGATATTGTAAGTGATTTTGTTGGAAATAAATGAATGGGAATAATAAAGCAATTCAGATTAACTCATTTCAACTGATATTTTCACACTGATGCTAATTGTGTTTCCTTGTATCATTTTGCCATTAAAAGATGCCAAGGATTCAGTGAGAAGGAAAACAGTGAAAATTATAATGGCAAAATCCCAAAATGCATGTGCATGTACTAGGGTTGTGCATGAACAGCTACCTTATACCAGTTTATTGAAAATTATCATAGGTGGGTATCCAGATACCTGCCAGTTTGGCAAGACAGACTGACTGGGTTTAAACTTTACAGCTTCCGACTAGTACCCTTGAACAAAGATATTGCCAACATAAGTATGGAATAGCTCAGTTGGTTGAGCTCCGGAATGGCAATCTAGAGGTCGCAGGTTCAAACCACGCTCCAGTCAATTTCTGTGTTCAGCTTTATGCAGGCATGCAACTTTTTCTCGGATCCGCTGATTTCCTCGTTTTTTAACTTCTCGTGAATGCCATTACATATTAAAAAACACTGTACAAAGTCTTGTGTTGTTTGGAATTTCCTCGTTTTTTCTAAATTCACAGTTTCATGCCTGTTTATGGGCTCTGTGCGCCAACAAAAGAGGGCGCGTTTTTACCAATTGTGAGAGCCCCTTGGATGGGACACCGCGTGTGCGTACTGTACTGGTTCGCGTGCGAAGTACGCACAACTTATTTATCCTGAATATGCACAAAGCTAAGCCATAGCGTCTTCGCGCGTGAGTGTCAGGTGTCGTAGGCGCGCGATAACGTTCAAATTTAACTTGCAATGGTCTCCCAGACTAATCCCCGCCCCCAATAACTTTGGATACATTCAAAGTCCGCAGTGGATGGACTGGGAACCAGTCTAGCTTTCCCCCAACTCTCCTTTTCTGGCCGTTGAAGGGGTACTTCAACAAATTGATTTGGGATTGTTTTATTAAAGACATTTTGGTAATACCGGTAGAATCTGGACCTGATATCCATAGAGTACCTGATTCCAGTACTCAGGCCTGATGTAATTAATCAAGAAGATCACAGAAAACATTGTTTCCTGCTTTAAAAAAAACCACTTCATGGAAATGGACAAATTCTTCTGTTTATTTGTGGGTGCTGTAGTGTTCTTATATTCTGAAATATTTATCCAAATCAGACTGCAAATATACGTTCATGCATTGTGTGAGCTACTCTCCATTGTCGTTGAAGTGGCTAGCTGTGGCCTCGGATTTTCCTTAAGAGCCTCTTGCTGATGAAAAACGATAATCATCCTGGTCGCCTCATCCTGGCCTCCTCATCCGTAAATGTGAAAACCGTCCTTGGTGATTTCCTAGGATTTCAGATAAAACACATGAGTTCCAACAGCCAACTGATTTTTGTGTGTGGAACAGGCAGAATTTCCCAGTGGTTCGGAAACAAAGATGGCAACCTGAGTTTGGCTTGCGTTGTCAATCTTTATCCTGTCATAAACTACCTTTACAAATCTTTGAATTGTGTATGAAAATATCCAGTTGTAGAAGTAAAGTACAGACCTAGAAAACAAAATCTGCTTGAAAATGCTTACTGTCTGGACTGGCTTATAATATACAAAGTGTAAAAGTATGGCCTGACATTTTTATCTTAGCATAATCTGTTGTAAACCATACATGTAAGTACTTAAATTACATTGTGTTACATTTTATATTGTTCCTTGATGAATCTATCAGACCATAGAGTGTTGGGGTAGATTTGGGCGGTTTAAGGAGCGACAAGCTGTGTGGTTTTGGGCGGTGTGGGGACTAATAAGTTAAAGGCAAAAGTGAAGTGCATTGCAATGGATGTAAAATTCAACATCAAATCTTTCCATTCTTTAAAAACTGCCTGTTTTTGTTTGTTGATGTCCAAATTTTGGGAAAGTTTATTCTTTTAATTGAGTAAGGTATAAGCAGGAGTGAGATTTGTTGGTATTTTGGGGATTTCAGGATTCCTAATTTCAGGATTTTTCCTGAATTCAAGATTTTTTGGTATTCCCCCCCCCCCCCCCCCCCCCCCCTGTTTGCAAGTTTTTAAATCTCTTTTGAAACCTGGAATGCCTGAGGATTTCCAAAAAGGTGTTGTTACCTGTAACAGTTTGCTCTGGGGCCCCCGTCGGCCCTGAAACCCTCTGCCCATTTTTGTGGATTTTTCGTTTTTGCCCCAATTTTACCCCTGAATCACTTCAGCTGGACCAAGACTTTTCAAGTGGTGTGTTTTTTTTATGTTGTGCTTTGTTTGATTTACAGGCTGCTGCCTATGAGAAGGAGAAGCAGGCTCTCAACCGAGAGGTCCTGACACTCAGCCAGAGGCTCCTGGACACCAAGTTTGAAATCAACAAACAGGAGGAAAGAAATGTAAGAAAAAGAGTCGGACCAAATTCAGTTTGAAGTTGATTTCCCCGTGCTTTAGATACTTTTCTAAATTACTATTTTTTCTAGCTGTACAAAATGCTGTCCTGAATATACTGAATAGTCGACTATTCGATCATAAACCGAATATTCCAAAAGCTTTTTGCCGGTTTGAAAATTTGAAAAGAAAAACAAGAATCAAAAACAAAAATACGCGCACACATGACTGTGATGTTATTTTATTGTCAAGTTGAAGCGCTTTATTATAAGGTAGGCCCTACCACTTTTTTTTCGACGGCGGTTCATTGTTCACATCCTTGTAGCAGGTGAAAGCCCTTTAGACCAAAAAAAAATGTCTCCGGTTTCTGGTATGCGCGCGCGTCGCCGTAGCCATGCGCGTTGGCAAAATGAAAAAGTTTTTTTTTCAATGAAAGATGATGTCTCAAAACTGCCAAACTCACTGGTTTGACTGGAATCCGCTGCTGCTGCACAATTTTAACATGTTTTTAGATTGGGTTATGATCGAGAATAAGCTTTATGTGGCCTCTCTGGTCTCCCATAATATTTGCACTAAGTTTAGTCGGGCACCATTTGCAGTCATCAGCCGACATTTGAAGCAAACAAAACAGGTAAAAAAAAAAAAAAAAGCCGCATCGCCGCACCACTTTTTGGGCAAGCTCCATACCAGAAACCGGAGACTTTTTTTTTTTGGCCTTACAGTTACAAAATACTTCCTGCAAAACACTCCAGTGCCCCATATCGATCGCCGAACACAAATTGCAACTGGCACACTCTTTGTGCAACTTTTGACCGGCACAGAAGTCAGTTTCGAATATCCAAATATTCGGTCCAACACAGTTTCTAGTGATCAAAATTCTTAAAAACAGACAGCCCTAAGGCCAAAAAAATAGTCTCCGGTTTCTGGTATGGATCTTGCCCGAAAAGTGGTGCAGCGACGCGGCTTTTTTTTTTTTTCCCTTTTTTTTTTTCTTCAAATGTCGGCTGATGACTGCAAATGGTGCCCAACTAAATCTAGTGCAAAATATATGGGAATCCAGAGAGGCCACATAAAGCTTCTTCTTGATCGTAACCCCATCTAAAAACACGTTAAAATTGTGCAGCAGCAGGATTCCAGTCAAACCAGTGAGTTTGGCAGTTTTTTGACATCATCTTACATTGAAAAAAAAAAATTTTTCATTTTGCCGACGCGCATGGCTACGGCGACACGCGCGCATACCAGAAACCGGAGACGTTTTTTTTTGGCCTAGCGAAAATTTTTCTCTTTTGAATTAGACATCGACCGAAAAAAAGGGCCCATTCTAGTTATTGAATTATTTACTTGACAAATTTGAATGATTGAATGCCAAACAATAATTCTTTTCTCGTGAGATACATGTATGTGGTTTCCCGCCCCAAATTCAGTATCGATAATATACGGAACCAGGAGCCAGTCTGCTTAAAAAACATACCTGTTTGTGCTCAATACAAAAAAATATTTTCAGACGGTAACAAACATCCACAAAAAAAATTAGATTGTTTGGTGCAAGTTGAAATTTGTTTAATCAAAAAAAAAATTGAATGTCTTAAAGAGCAGGGGAACACACATTTAATCTAATCCAAACCAATTCACTTCAGTCCAAATTTCAATCCTATTCTCTGTTACTTATCCAAATCCCCATCCCAATAAGAATTTCAATCTAAGTCTTAATCGTATTCTCTTGTCTTCAAAATAATCTAGATCTTTATCCAAAATCGAAACAAAGTTCACTTCTTAAATTAATTTTTTAAAAACCCAAATCGAAATCCTAATACCCTAATACAGATACAGGGAGTGAGATATCCAATGCAATGAACGAAAAGCTCTGACCATTTTAGCATGTTTACAAACACGTAAATGCAAGATTCAATGTTCAGTTTGATTGGGTAAATTCTCAAAACAACTTCCACAATATTATTTTAAACAAAGTTCACAGCGAAATGGATGTCAAGATGGTCCAGGTGAACATGTTCTTGAAGAAGAGTGTGATGTTGCACACTGGTCAATATGTTGTCTGAAGTATACACCGAGCTGATGCAATTCTCCAGTCCCTACATCCTCCGCTGACATTTTCCTACTATCGATCTCCAACTGTTCTCCAGGCCCTGGGCAAATTTTGAAATATCAGCATGTTTTTACAAAAACAGACACGTTACAAAATCGTGTGCAGTTTGACAGGCCAATGTACTGTGTTGCATTTCCATGTTTCCTCAACTTAAATTTGACAGTGTTAGCAAGTTTCAGCCAAAAAAGAAGAAAAGATTTTCACTCAAGATCCTAAATTCTTTGTAAATATTTTTTGGCGACCCAGTGTGCTTTGTGCTGGGGCAGATTTACTCGTTATATTCATGGGTACGACAGATTTTGTGCATTGTCTAGGCCTAATAGTATGACTGCTCTTTCGTATTCCGAATGCAGTTTCATTATTCACATAGCTGATTAATTTTTTTCAAACTCTAATTTCCAACGTGTAAAGTTTCAGTGACCATTCCCTAACTGTCATATTTTTCAGGACATAGGCCATGAGGTTTTTTTCACCAAGTATATTCCGGTTCTTTTGGAAAAAAATTCCTACATGGAATTTCTGAGTTTTCGATTGGCTTGAGGATTATTTCAGAACAAGATTTTGGCCCTCTGTAAGGAAGCCTTCATTTTCACGAAGTGGTTTTTGATCAATTGAACTGAAAAAAATATAACCTAATATTCAGTCCCAGAATTGAATACCTGGTCAACTAGTGTGGGCAGTCTATAGTTTGTATGAAATAAAAATTGGTCTCAGACACTGCTTCAACAAAAATTATAACCTTCGAAGTCGGTTCTGACATGCTATAAACAAAAACAAATCTTTTCAAGCAAATGTATTCAGTGTACGCATGGTAAAAGTAATGGGCACACTTGAAGTTGTTGAGAAATTTGGCAGTTTTGAAGGGCTTAACACAGTTTTAAAGACTAGGTGAAGACTTCTTTGCAGATGATACTTGATGAATTCAGTCTCATGTTATAAAAGCAAAAACAAAATCTCTTTTCTATGTGTACATGTAGCTGTCATGTATTAAAATTAAAAAAATCATCTTGCATCCATGGTTTTCTCATCCCTAAAGTCCTCCCGAGAAGGAGTTAATTTACCATGATACATCTTTGATAGACTCTTAACCTGATGCATGCTGTCGCCATGGAAACACAGCGTTCTCCCGTGGGCATTCCTCAGTATTTGCAGTTGGTCCCTACTCTATCTTCAGATAGTGCCGCTTCTCTATTCCCCCCCCCCCCCCTAACGTGGTGGTTTGTGCATGTCTGCCTAAATGGGCCAGGTAGAAGACAAATTGATTGCGGTGGGTTTCTCCACATAATGCCGAGAACTGCAGACTGCTCCAGATGTTTCCCTTCCCATTCGGAGCCAAGTTCATTTGGCTACTATTGATGTGGCCAAACAAAATGAAGTTACCGTTCACGGTACCCATCCTTTTTGATTCTGCTTCTACGATAGCAAAAGAAATACATCAGTGGTGATGATGAAAATCGCGAAGGAAAAAAGAGTAATGTTTCAGGGACATGTTCATATAGAAAAAAAGCACTACTTAATATTTGGAGCCACTGATGGCTAAACTGCCCAATTTGTTTTTAAAAACATATAAGATGAATGTGTTGTCTTTCTAATACATCGTTTCCTTTTTAAAAATTATTTTTTTTTACAAATTTTGTTTACCCAGGCACGCTATAAGAAAGACTGCCAGCTGGCTGTTGAACTACTTCAATGTACGCCCTCTGGAGCCTATATGCAACACAAAGTCAGCCAGGTAAGCATGCGTGCCTGCTAGTTCTTGTAGGTGCATTTTGATGAGACTGGCAACTCTAAGTTAGCAGAGATGCCAACCATTACTCTTTTGGAGTAATTATTAGGATTTTGAAGCATGTTACTACTCTTGAAACTTCCAGCTGTCCTGTACACCAATATTGTGGTTACTGTGAAAAGTACTGTGGTTACTCTTAAACTTGACTGTTGTCCTATGTATTTACATTAGCATTACTCTTTGCAGGAAGAATCATTACTATTTTGTAGTCTGTAAAGTTGGCATCTCTGAGCTAGTCGGTGTGTGGCACTGAATTTACAGCTGTCACTTAAGACAGTCACTAGACTATAAAGTATAGAACAACTTTGCCATTATCCTACAGAAACATTTTCCCTTACATCTTTACGTACATAGAATGTTTATGAAGATTTTGACAGTTATCTACATTGCACCCTTACCAGAAAATGAGGTTTGTCAAAATGACTGTTACATTATTACCTCTGTGAACGCACTGTAGTTAGTCCTGTATCTCTTGGAAGCAATATCATACAAGACCAACCATAAAAAGTTACTACGGTACCTATCTGAGGTATTCAGGTTTTGTAGGTTCAGCTGTACAACTTGAGGTTAACTGTCTTGCCCAGGGACACAAGTTCATAAATACTCTGGTTGGTTTCAATTACCATTTGAGGATTTGTTGTAATACTAGAAGACTAAGTTGGCCCTGGACTGTTTACTACAAATAATTTTTTACTTGGCTGAATCATTGGCTAATATAGGCACATTGGAGGTTAATTCTAAGCACTAACTTTAGATGATGTACATGAGGGTGTGCTGATCAGATTTATATCTTTGTCAATTTCAAATTGTTGAGGGCTTGATCACATTTATGTCACAAGTCATGAGTACTTTTTAAAGAAAACTGTTACAACTGTTGCCTTTCAGCTTCCTCACGATCTGCAGTACTATGTGCACCAACTTATGGGCGAGATGAATACTGGCAGTCAGCATTCTGGCATCTCATCGCAGCGTCACAAGCCGAGTGACAACAGCCAGCCGCTGCTTGGCTCTGACAAGTCCAGGAATGGATACCTGGCATCTCGGGTCTACGACTCCGTCCCTGCCAACATCATCGCCAGGGCGATGCAGCTTAGGGACGAGGAAGACCGCAAGGAGATGGAGAAGCTGGTACCCACATTGCGCAGCAGCCGCAGTAAGCAAGAAGTTGCTGTGGTACTACACGATAAAGGGACGCAGACCACCGCAGTGGAGACATTGAACCAGCCGGAGCAGCTATGCGCCAGATGTGGGGCTGAGGTGACCCTAATACCCATTATTGAGCCAGAACCACCCAAACCACCCAAACCATCAGAGTCTGAACCCAAGTTCCTGAACCTATTGGATCTATCCGAACCTGCCCCAGCTAAGCCTGCCCCTAAGAAGACAAATGAGCATCTTTTGCTTGATCTGTTGGACACCGATGCACCCAGTGAAAATGCCGCTGAGCTCAATTTGAAGCGTTCCCTGGAGAATCTCTCACTGGCTGACTTGCTCCTTGATATTCCAGACTCTGAGCCGGGCATCAAGCCTTTGGGAATGACTCCCATCGAACGAGAAGAGACTCCGTCTACAGCCGATGTCCTATCTCTGATCTCCCCTCTAGATTCAGGTTCTCCTATGCAGGATGACATGTCCGATAGCAGCAGTGCTAGTAAGGAGAGTAACACAGGCACCCAAAGCAGCGTAGGATCTTCCCTGACTGAGGCAGATGCAGCCCTTGCTGCTCCTAAACCGCCAACCTCCAAGCCCACAGGTCCAGCTCGACGCCTCCAACCCGGCCCTACAACTATCCCCCAGCTCCAGCAGAATCAGAAGAACAACAGTGGCGGCGGTCACAGCATGCTGACAGAGAGCTCCCCACTCTCCTCACCTGTGGAGCCTGAATTCAAGAAGGTTGGCAAGGCGGCTGTCATCAAATCGCAGCAGAGGAGCCAAAGGTCAGCTGTCGTTAATGGCACAGCAAGAACGCCAAGCGATGACAGTAAAAATCTTCCAGCCTTGATCAAGGATCTCTCTGCTGCCACCAACCAAAAGGGCTCAGCTTTCCACAATCAGAATCAGTCCCTGCTTCCTGAAAACCCAAGCGTGGATGAGAAAACGGAGAGGGTATCCATGTACATCAATGACACCAACGCCGAGAACTTGAAGAAGGCTCAGCCAAAACCAAGACTTGTTGGGGGTGCTACAAAGCCCACGGGTCAAGTCATTGGTTCGCAGCACAACCGACCCTCCAACCCACGACCAAGCCCAAACCCTAGCTCTAATCTTAATTCCAATCCTAGTCCAGACGACAATGCCAATTCCAACCCCACCAAAGCTAACCCTAACTCGACTAAAAACCCCCACTTCTTGCAAACCAGTGTCTGATACTAATGGTCTTTTCAATCATTTCTACTTCCAGATGAGCTTTCAAATGTTTTTTTAAAGTAAACTTGGCCAAATGTTCCTAAAATTGTTGTAACACATTCTGTGTCACTGGTGTTTGAGAACAATTTGTACTTCAAACTGATGAAATAAAAAAATTCACCGAATAGTCATTTGTGTCTAGTCATGTAGAATCTCAATTTAGATCAGTGTAATGTGCTTTGTAGGTAAACCGTGATTGTCCAATGCATTGATTGAGACCGTTCAACCTGAAACATCAGCTGATCATCATGGGAACTTCTAAAAGAGTCAGCCACTAAATTCCAAAGCAACAAGTGTGGATTGGGAGAGTTATTATCCTATTTTGCAAGCCTTCTTTGATTCCAAAATGGCGTCATGAAGTGGTTCACAATTTGAGAACTTTTGAGCTTTTGAGAAATTTGCAGGACCTCCTGAAAGATTTAAAATCTCAACAAGGGGTAAAAAGGTTGTGTCATTTTAATAGCACATTGTTTATAATGCAAAAATCTGCTGATCCTGTTTCAAACTTTTTAATCAGTTTTTAACAAGCAGTTTACCTGCTTAATGTTGAGGGTAGTCACAATTTTAATGTTGAAGTAGCTACAGTAAGGCTTGATAGAATTATTCAAACATTTGTTGATAATTGAAATGTGTTATATGAATTGTGAAACTGATCAAAACTTTCAGACATTTGAATTGAATTGGCTGAACACTAATAACTACTTTGGCATTTACTGTATAGTTTTGTTTGTTATTTGGGGAGGAAAAAGTCTAGCACTTTAAACTCTAGATGTTCTTTTTTTTAAATGGAAAGAAAGTATTTAGAAAGAACAGGCATTTGTACCAAGAGGAGCTAAGAGTAATGAATTGTGAATGCAGAACCTATTTCATTTAATAGCAAAGTTTGACAGTAATTATAGAAACATGAGGATCACACTCACGACACGTCTGTCCATTTAGAATTCAAAATATCCTGTGCTTTCATCGTAAAAAAAGAGAATAAGTATGCAATCCGACTATTAACTTCAACTTTGGATTTGGTGTGTTGAACACGGATTTGTTATTATACCACAGTGTTAATTTTATTTATTTTGTTTTGCATTTTTTTTTTTATCTGATCAGTTCACCTGTGTAGGGCTTGGCTCGGTTTTTTTTTTTTTTTTGGGGGGGGGGGGAGTGTTTGTTTTGCTACCTTTCAATCATTTTGCATGATGCCCACTGTACAGTTAGTTTATGTGTATATCTTTTGACAGACAGTCGAGACGCTCCACCAATATTCCTTTCAATTCATTAGTGTCTTAATCAAAAACTATGCAAGTAAAAACAAAAATCAGTTGAGGACTTTCAGCACTGTAAGTATAATGTGTATTCTTATTTGAAGTTTTGTATTTTAGTACCGTATTCTAAGATTCATTATTCATCAGGAACACGTGTGGAGATGATTATTGCAAAATTTTAACAGTAGCATTTATGGCAGACAATTTATCGAAAATGCGTTATAGTTTATAATAGTTTAATTGTACAATCTTCACCACTGCAGCCATGTTTGTCGTTGTTTATGCCACAGTTGTTCATGGTTCAGCTATTTCCTTGTGGGGTTTTTGATACCTAAGCTTGCTTCATCTTCGCTCTGGGATTTGTCTTGGAATTTTGAATCTCTGGGCGGCAAAGGAAATAATCCAATCTTTGGCCTCGTAGCATACAAGTAAATGTTCCTGAAGCAGGTCATGCACCAAATTTTAGCCGAAGTCCCCGAAATCAGGGGTCTAAAATCTCCTTAAGCCGGAGATGATGCAGCCAGGGTTTTGAAAAGGCCCTTAGCATATATGACTGATATGTGGATCGTGTACAGCCAGTTGATTGCACTAAATCGATAACAATCAGAAGGAATCTAGGTTATCTGGCGAGAGTTTGCTGACAATCTTGGGAGCTTTATACACTGTGAAAGGATTTTTTTTATATTATTTATTCTAATTTTAATAATTACCTATGGGGGGAGGAGAAAGGAGGGGTATTTTTTTCAGAATGTATAAACAAATTTCACTCAAGCAGCCACGTTTTGTGATAAGCTCGTGACGACAAAAATTTCACGTGAAAGTGATGTCATGGTTGTAGTGGTGTAGGTCATGTAGTCTGTACATACATGTACATGTAGTGTCTACTAGAACAGTCTATTGCCAGCTGTATTGTAAAGAATAACCTTATACACCAAAATTGAGCAAAGTTTATGACATTAACTATAAACGCCACATGTAGTGCAACACATTACACAATGTAAATTAGCATTCCAAATGCATCATTTCAAGAATTGTACATTACTGTGCAGGTTATTTCAAGTTGGAGAATCGAAATGTATTAGTGACATTGCATTTTTGACGCACAAAATTGTAAATCTTATTGATTGTGTGCATGGAGTTAATCTGAAACTATAAAAAGACATTAAATGAATACATGTCACTGCATTGTGTCATTATCCCTGACAGAAAGCACTGAGATTTTGTCCCGTGATGGCTGCCCAAAGTATTTTTTCAAGAATTGGGCTTTAAGGACTTAAATTTCAATAAACAGGAACAGTGCCAAATTGTGTGTTTCACTCGGAGAAACGGTTGCATTCTCTAGAGTAGAAATATGAAAATGTAATATGTAGTATAGTCTTACATGTAAAGAGAGAATTGTTGTCAAAGAGTATTGTAAATTCTGGACATGGGTAAAATCATGGTCGAGTTACTTTTGTAGTGTGATCAAATCTCAGTTGAATATTCTTACTTAAAAATCACATGGGGTTTGGAATTCTAACTTGAAAGTTTCTTAAAACAAATGAAGGAAACCTCACCTAATGTTTGTAGACATGTAGTACTTACAGTTTATATACTATAGTAATGAGAAATATAGCAAGTAAAGCAACAAGATTGTCATATTTTATCCTGCCAAATTCTGAGCGTAGCTCTGTTCCAGTAGATTAGTGCTGAGTACTTGAAACAAAACTGTGAGTTATAAGAAGGCGAAGTGATTTTATTTATGGTTTGTGTCCTGTATACAAATGCTCATTTAATACAGTTATTGTTGTAGTTTTTGGACAGATCTCGAAAGACTGATTTTAGGATTCGTACTAAATTTTTGTAAGTGTTGTACATGTAAATGTATGTCTAACTAATGATACATCATCATTCACGTTTTCTTGGTTTGAACCGGTTTGATCAGAGCAATTTTTTGTTCAGTGTTATTCAGCTTTTAGTCAATTACATGTACATGTACCTGTTCAATTTTGTTTTCTCAGATGTTGAATCGAAAGATTTTTAATTGTTGATCCCAGATTGTGAGTGGAGAAATTGCATAGGCTTTTCACCACCAACTTTTATCTGTGAGCAGTGTGTGTGTGTTGACCAAAGTAATATTTTTTTTATTAGGATAGTGCTTAAACTTGTAACAAAAGTCAAGAAAATGCATCACATTTTTGTAACTCTCTAAATACATTACATGGTTAAAAGTGAAAGTACTAGGGGTGTGGAAATGAAACATTGGCAATTTTATTTGCTGGTTTAAAGGTATAAATTAAGCAGCATGCACTATTTTTTATAATTTGATGAAAATCAGCATTAATGTTATATTTTTAATTTTCTGCAAAAAAAATACTCGCAAATCATTTGTACATTTTGGTTGTGCTTATTCTACATATTATTTGTACATTTCGGCTGTGATTTTTAACTAAAGCATTTTAAACATGTGAATACTTAACCAATATTTTATGCAATTGTGTTACTTCACAAAATGTTTTTGAAAAATAACCGAAGAAGGGCCATATTGTGATGAATGCAAGGGGTTTAGGTAATTACACGAAATTCCATATTTCTGACCTTGTTCAACGGATTGCCAAGAAGTTCGGGAACAATTGTTCAAAACTCCTGCTATATCAACGGTGAGATAAAACTAATTTTTGTCAAGTTTCAGTTTGTGATTGGCTGTTCCCCTGATCATGTGACTCGCAGTATGTATTTTATTGGTCAAAAAAATATCACCAAGTTTCGGAACTGCTTCATTCATCCAGGGCTCACATGTATGTGCTTGAGTTGTACATATGAAATCCATATCACACGGGTTCGGCTTCAACTACTAGTCATACCACTTTTCTTGTCGAAACTTTTACAGATGCTTCATGACAAGCAAAGCTACAAGTTGTAAGAGAATATGATTCCGATTTGTCGCAAGTAAAATATCAATTCCTTGTTGCCACAATGACATCATGAATTCATTCCAGATGATTCAGTAACTTAATAGCCTGTTTTATGAACAAACTCTATAAATCTTTCTGTTTGTATCTTGTATATATTTGGAATTGTAAAGGTAGATATTTTTTTCAGTCAGTAATTTATATGCATCAATTAAGACCCATAGATCATGTAGATAGGAAATACTTTAATAATTACAAAAATAAGCTTTTATTTGCACATGCTGCAGTCATTATAATAACCCAAGCTATATCAAAACAGATTGTGTGTATAATGAGAAAAACATCAAGTTACTGTAACATATCAGCAAGACGATCTAAATTAGAACTTATTACAGACGAATCCAGGCGCCAGTTCATTGCACACTAACGGAGGCCCCCTTAAATGTCGTAAGTATTGTGCTAGCTACTGTAGAGAGCAACTGTTCCATGACAGTTATCCTGAACAATAGCTAGCAAAATGCTTTCGCCATTGATGGGGGCTCTGTGATAGCGTGCCCAAATTGGCCTATTAAAATGACAGTGTGTTGTGTAAAAAGCAGAATGCATTATTTTCATATTCCAACTTTAATAGAAAAACATTGAACATTTTTAATTTTAACATTCCAATGCAAAGTTAATTGTACTGTATTCATTCCTAAGTACTCTGTCCACTAATAAGTTTCTGTGTTTTCATCATTTTATGGCAAGTTCAGTGTCATATTGCATCTGAAATTTTAAATTTAGTGTTATGATTGTTCACTGTGGGACACAATATTTTTGGAAGTCACATTAATGTACTGTAAATTCGTGTCATTCAAGGTCCTCCAAATCATGTTGTGCAAACCAAATACATCAAAGTCGGAGTGCGCCATCTATTGACAGATTTTTGCCAACCTCTGTTTTGGTGAGGATGAGCTTGACAATGCAGTACACTACATGTATATGCAATTATGAATCTTTCAACATGTTCAATGCAGGTTTCACTACATATTTATTCAAATCCCTAGCAAGATTCATATATGTAATTTATTTGGCGGTAAAATTAGACACCAAAACTTCAGAAAGAAAATGTTAAAATCACACTAAAAGCTGGCTTGAATTTTGACATTACATATAGTTGAATGGAAATTGAAAGTGTATTTTGATTATGTGAAGTACTTAATTATCCGTACTGCGAAGACTGTTTTAATTGATGTACACATGAAACCGCTTTCATTTGTGAGTTTTAAAAAGTTGGCTTTTTAAATGAGCAGGTACCTGTAATGTTTTTTTTTTTATAAAGTGTTTTCTTAAACAAAATGCAGAGCTTTTACTAATGGATAATGTGTATGAAATCAAGGAACAGTGACGTTCTAGCATGTAACTCTCAATTCAAAGTCACCATCATGTAGTATTAAAGTCTCCATTGTATGGTTTTTATTGCACATGTAATAAATAAATAACAGTAAAAATAACACACATAACTGTTGTCTTAATGTGTTATTTTTGTGTCTTTAAAATTAAGGAACACAAAAGCCTCAGACGGTATGTTGACAATTAACAGATTTTCTGGATTTTATCATAAGCCCCCGTCCATTTTTAGTTTTTGGACATTTCCCATAGTACCTGTAACCACAACTACTGTGGCCACTTTTTAATACCAAAATTTGTGACATACATAATGGCCCCGAGACATAATCACGTCACACCTAGTTTACATGTGCACTTTCTTATGGGAGACAGCTTGGGATGAGAGCCACCAAGCTCTTGTAGGAAAGCGCTAACGTAAACAAAGCATGACGTCATTATGTCTCAGATTTATTGGTCAATCCGCACTGTTTGACAAGTTGGAAGAATCCACTGTTAAGTGGGGAGAGATTCACAATATAGGTGGGTGCAGACATCCGGGATTTGTTTACATTGGCTTATCTAGCTCCCAGACCTATGTTCTTGAAACTCAATGGTTCTTGAGTCTAGAATGGTAACGCATAGCAACCGATGAAAACTGACGTCACTCCGCCCCGATCTATAGTCCCCTGCTTAGGTATTTGCCTCGAAGGGACACTTTTCATTTGACTGTGCATTAAGAACTTTCCTTCATGTAAATAAACTCATTGTTCACATAAATATTGAACTAAGTCGCATGCACAGTGATTTTTTTGGGGACGATTTGTAGAGATGTTTTAAATAAATAACCCAATATTTTCATAGGGCAATTTCTCATTTGAGCCTTTCGACATAATGGGTTGCCATATCTTTTCAGCTAATGTTAGGATAATCTGTCATGGGGAAGTTGCTTTATAGATTAGGTCACACAATGTTCGCCATTAGAGGGAGCCTCCATGAATGCATACTCATAGCCTGCTCAAAATAGTCTACAATTTTGCCAGAGAGAGTCCATTTTCCACAATTTGACTGTCGTCGTAAAAGGGGAAGATCTACAAATTTTAAGTATATTTTAAAAACTACTGATAAATACCTGGGACAGTTTACCCATTCCTATTGGTCGAGAGCCTGTCACGGTGGTGGTTTTAAACGGTTGAAACACTTCCGGTGTCACATGAAATTTGGACTCTTAAGAAATCTGGCCCCTTTTACCCTTTTATTGGTTGAACGTTCACAATCTTCACTTACATGTAAGCATGTGCAATACCACCAATGAGTCCCTATTTCATAGTCCTAAATTCATACTTCAGCGCCATCGCCGCTCTTTGCGCGCCCCAATCTCCATATAAGGAGATTTGTAGTACATCTCCCGAGAGGCACATATACCATAAATATAGCTCGAGGGGTGTTAAAAAACATGGAAGTAAAATTTAAAAAAAAATTGTTGGAATTTTTTTATTTTTGACTTATTTTGACTGAAAGGTATTTATGAATGGGAATAAATATATGCTTGGCCGGTATTAAAAAAGTAGGACGGGACGCCCTATTATCGCAGAACTTATCACGTTTCTTGTTCGGAATACAGATTGCCCACTAAACCTTCCCGAATTGTCCTGTCTTTTGTGTTGTATAACTCTTCCTTTTCAAATTGATATAAAACAAATCCGACGGTGGTGTGATTCGTGTACGGTGCCTGTGAAAATAGACATGCTCGAAGTATGCGAACGGAGGTGGACTCCCTATTATCACGGTAGGCGGGAAGTGGTTTTTATAATGATCTCAACTTTTCTATTCATGGTTAATGCGTGACCAAAACATCCCCTGAATAAAGTCTGATATTTTCCCTGAAACGTTCAAGTTGATTAAAGACTATATGCCTGCAGAATGATTTTTTTAAGACCCTGCCCTTCCCCTGAAAGGAGAACAAAAATCACTGAGACAAGTCTACTGATTGGCGATTGGGGGCGACATTCACTTTACATGGTGTGCCGTTATTTTTTTTTAACACGCTGTCCTTATTTTGATCCAGTAAACGTTTTTACGATTTCGCGGTGGAAATATCGTCCTTTGACGTCATTTTACATTTGCAGCTGTAGAATGGGAACCATACAATGGAACTTTCATGGACAGAGCACCATTAAAGATTTATGTTAAAATATAGACAGTACCTATTAGCAGACACGGTGAGGGAAAATTTGCTGTTTTGGAAAACGTGAAAATTTATTGAAAATCATTAAAAGTAATTTTTTTAATTGTCTTTTTATACAACTTGGCAGAAAGTCCTTAATGACTGGTGAACTGGATACAAATCACCACTTGAAGGAGTTTTGGCAATGCAAAAAGAGAAATTTCCCATGCCGCGATAATAGAATTGATGCGATAATAGGGAGTCCGACTATACATTTACAACCAGCTTAGGGCCTGGTCGCTGATATTGTCCCTCACCTTCTGCTAGAGCCTTTATCAGCGTCCAGGCCCGAAGCCAGTTTTAAACATATGTTCTTGTTTAAAACGCAGAGGACTACCGCAGAGGATTTTCAAAGGCAACCAGCTTTGCCTTCTCTGCAATTTTCAAGAAAATTTGTCCTCAGTGGTGCACTTTACTGTAGCCTGTTAATCAACCATCCACACAGTCTCTTAACAAAACTGAAAAGCAGTACAACAGGCATCGATAGATCAGTAAGCAGAAGTTGAACTCTGGCATTGCTAGCATACAGTTCAAATCAGTAAGGTCCATGTTGACCAGACAAGTGTTTCATGGAGGAAGCCAAGTTTCTTCTCAAACTGACAGATTTGCAAAATTTTCCAAATGGCAAATAATGTGCAAGGTTCCAAGGCCTAGCTTCACTGCCATACATCCACAGTCCCGTCCCAACTACACGATGCCATGACACCAGGAAGCACGGGGTGCCAGGCCACTTCGGTGCACGGCCCGCTGTGACATTGTAGCGTCTTCAAGATTCTTGCAGTATGGTTATCGTAGATGTACACCTTGCCGTCTGAGCTGCCGCTAACGAGAAGGGCGCCATCTGGAGAGAAATCGCAGCCAATGTGGTAGCCTTCCAGCTGATGGAAAGCACAAACAAAATACGAAATTTAAAAAAAGCCCCCAAAAAAATCACAGAGAGGAAAAGTGGTTTAATATTCAAGTGCAGAAAAGAAAAGACTGCATGTCAACACCAGGTGCATTTTTGAAGGGTTCTCGAAATTGGTCAATCGTAAAATTTTCAGTAATAATTTTTTTGAAGTTGTCTTGATCTTTTTCACAAATTATGGAAATATTTAGAAAGAAAGGGGGGGGGGTGTGGCTAGGCTACACGAAGATGGTGCCCCCCTCCAACTGCCCAATTGGAAACATTTAACTGATTGGAATAACTGCAACAGTTTCAGTTCTTAAGTTAACAAAAATACCTTTTCTTGAAAGAATTGGTTAAAAATTCTAATCCTGCTCATCTCCAGTGCCCCAACAGATTTATTTTGCTCAGCTTCCACACAACATCTATTTATTTATTTATTCATGATTATTCGGCAATTGGACCAAAGTATAGTTTTCCAAATAAACACTTTAGTTTATGATGACCCTAAATTTTGTCGCATAATTCTTCTGCCATTTTCTTCCCCTCAACCCTAAACTTGTCAGACTGTGACAGTAACTTGCAAAGGAATGTTCTCGTTTACCTGATGGCCTTCGTAGCGTTTGAACTTGTTCAGCTTGTAGGGCCTGACTGTTGAGAACAGGGCAATGTAGTTGGCAGTAGACTGGGCCACAAACACGCGGTCACTGGGGTGGGCTCTCAAACACGGGCAGGTGTATTTCTCCTGGATGGTTTAAAAAAATGTGGAGATATTTGAATGGAACTTTGTGAGTTTGATTCACACATGCATGTATCATAAAACAGGTTTTTTTTCTTCAGTAACTTGTTTTTGGTAAAAGATATGTTGATGCATATTTACCAGGGACAAAGAGTAACAATAGGGACGATGGAACACCGTAAGTTGGTCTACAAAAATCTCAGTACCCCATAAGTGAAATGATGTGGAGTTTGAAACTTCAATGGACGCAAACAGAACAATAACAGGGACGTAAAGGTCCCGAAACACTAATTGGGGACCTAACTTAGAAGCCATTTTTGAGGCAGAACCAGGCTCGCGCTCAGGAAGTATGCTTGCACTCTGGGCTCCTTCAACCAATAGGGTTACCAAAATGTACGTGCGCCTTGTCTTTAAGGAAGCACACAACACGCGCGTTAACTTGGTTCCACCTCAAAATGACTTCTAATTTTGTTCGCTGAATTAGTCTATAGTGGCACATACCCCAACTACCCAGTGTATGGGCATTTGACAGGAATGGCGCTCAAATGAACAACAATGACTGTGTTTGTCCTTCAGGGCGAACTCATGAAGGATCCTTTGAGATTCCATGAGTTTTGGATGCATGGATAGCCTGCATGATGGAAACACAGGTATGGCCGGGGTTGGGGCTTCATCCCCAATCTCCATGCAACTCATATGGACTCCATGCGCACACAGTAGATGTTGATCTGTGACCATTTTCCACAGCCCAAGTGGGAGGGACACACTGTGTACACGCACTATGCAATTGTTATCTGCTGTGAGATGGTCCATGGTGTTTTGTACACCCGAGGGGGCAAATGGCACCCGAGGCGAAGCCGAGGGTACCATTTGCCCCCGAGGATGTACAAAACACCATGGACCCCATCACAACAGGCAACAATTGTTTTGTCATACCACGGTAATAGATTACAGCTGTCCAACTCTGTAACTGGTAACGTCTAAAACTGTGGGTCTCTTACTGTTGCGGTGCAGAATTGGCGAACTATTCGCACGTCTTTTTCTTATTGCTGATGCTGTCCGCCTCTAAAATCAAATTTCTGATCTCATCTCTGGAAAAAGAGAGAGGTGACCTGTTGTCATCTGCCGACATTGTTATGGTGATATTACGAGAAAATTGGCACTGTTAAAAAAAGGAGACGAACAGTGACGCATCATGTACACAACAATGGCGCTCATAGCAGAGACAGTGCTTCACTGTCCCCCATGGCACATCTCACAGGAACATACATCAATTTACGGAGTACCAGCATAGCTACAACTTCGTACCCGAGGTCTCATGTTATTATAATACAATGAGGTGGAAACGACACTTTCAACAGCGGGAAAGATCAAGGTAATGTACCCCGTGGGGTACATCACTCATGTACCAAGGCGTACATCGCTCATGCGTTTTTGTGGAGTGTCACGTGATCCAGTCTCGACCAATAAATACTCACAATCTATTACCGTGGTATAACAAACACTCTTGACATATGGGTAGTTATGGGATACCACTATTATCCACCTTTACTTCCCTATTGTTCTACTTTGTTTCTAATGAAATCTTAAACTCCATAGCGTTGATCGCTTCTGGGGTACTGAGATTTCTAACGACCGAGTTATGGGGTACCATTGTCCCTATTGTTACCCTTTGTTCCTGGTGCCCCATAAGTACACTGGTATGCACATGCATGCTTTCGTGTTTTAATTTACTCTCGAGGACAATGCTTTGTGTTTCCCTTTGTCCCTGTAATATAACACTCTCCAATAGACTAAGCACACAAACATACTACAGAGGACCGTTTCCAACAAAAGACCCAACTCTCGAGGACTGAAAGGATCTGTTGTTCTCCCTTTGTGTGTCGGTCCTCAGGGGTTATGTAGAACATGTACACGTATACACAAGTTAGTGGTCTCTTCGAGTGAGTATTGGGTGCCATCTGTAATGCATTCGAATGTCCCTCCCAACTGTCGCTCCAAACTCTCTCTTCTTGTTGACGGGGTACTTGTACACGGGGTCCGCAGTACCACATTTTCCAAGCAATGTGTTCTCACTTAAAATCAAATTCCAAAATTTGTTTTCTAATTTACTGAAATGTTAGCCTTCTTACATGATATAGTTGGTTGGACACCGCGGCTGTTGTTCGCAGGTCCCACACCATGATGGTCTTATTGGCAGAGTCTCGGCTCACCACGTCACACGATGAGGCAAACTCCTGACAGTCAGGCAGAAACTCCACATCTAGAATCTGGCCTAGCTTGCCCCTGTACTCATGTTCACGCTTCACAAAGAAAACAGACAAATTATCCAAAATAATCTCAAATATGAAAGGCAAAATTTATTGTCCCTCAATTGTTACAATTATCGTTCTTCAAGTTAACTATTCATAAGATGGAATTTTGCGTCGGGGTGATGTAAATCAAATTAGGTTTTGCCCTGCACCGACGTATGTTACCTCCCAAGTGAAAAATGGAGAAAAAAAATCACTCGGGTGGGACTCGAACCCACGACCTCCTGCTTTCTAGTGCAGACGTCTTACCACTCAACCACCGAGCTAACAGGATCGGTTGGCTGGTTCGCATCTGCACTAGAAAGCAAGAGGTCGTGGGTTCGAGTCCCACCCGAGTGATTTTTTTCCAACTTTCACTCGGGAGGTAACACACTGAGTATACAGTGTTTATACGTCGGTGCAGGGCAAAACCTAATTTGATTTACATCACCCCGACGCAAAATGCCATCTTTTGAATAATTATCGTTCTTGCCGTTTTTCTATCATAAACTAAATTCAAACAATGAAATTCTTCAAACCTAAATCTTTTATAAAGCAACAAATCTGGTGACTTCTGATGAGATTTTACAGACCACTGAGCAACTTTTCTTTTTAGCAGTAAAATTTTGTCACAAATAACTTTATTTTTGAAGTGTGCGACGGCTATTCCTACAAGCACTCACAGCAGGCACTGAATAAATATTAAAATAAAAAAAGCAAGTACTCTCAATTTAGGCAGGCAGAGTTGACACACTAGAGTCAAGTATACGTGAACATCATGAAGAGTAACATTGTGCACAATTAAAAGGTACATAGGATCATTTGCATTTGTGCAGCATTCTTCGTCTGAAGCAACAAAATTGCTAAAAATCTTTGAGTAGGGTGCAAAACAACTAACCTGTTGAAGTTTCAGCTCAGTGGATACTACAATGTACATATTCTTTTTGTGGATATTCTTTTTGTGGATAATATTCTTTTTGTGAAAACAGAGAAAACAGACGCACAAGTTTGTTGGGTCTTGTAACTGGATTCCATTGCTAACACACATAAAAAAGTGTGCCAACGAGTACGCTTTATTAACTCCACCTTCAATTACTGTTTTCTTCTTAACGATACCGGAATAATTTCACAGGGTGTTTGGTACCATCCCTATCTTTGCTTTTAGCAAGGTTTTTCTCGTTAAATCAATAGACACATTTCCAGGTTGTGTTTCCATATGCCTTTAAAATATGAAAGTTACTGATGTCATGAATACATGCAGCAAGTACAGCCAATGTTGCCAAACTCACATTCCCTGTTCGAATGTCCCAACAGAAGATGGAGGAGTTGTAAGTGCCTGTGATGAAGACGCTCGGATCATCCGGCTTCGTCTTGGCACAAGAGACGTAGGATGAATGATCAAATATCTGCAGCTCTTTCCCTGAAACACAACATGGACCTTTCTTTAATGATATTATGTCACAGGCCAAACATTCTGGTCTCCCGAAAATCCTGAAGACTCAAAATTTAAGGTAGTCTAAACATACATATTCAAAAAAAATATTCAAATTATATAACTTCAATAACTTATGCCAAATATTAAGGAAATCTTTCCCGTAAAAAAAAAATTGGATTGAGACCTCTACCTTGGTTGGTGGCAGACTTAAGATTTCATCTTTGCCTTGCAGAAATTTGGGAGATTTTTGTTTACAAAAGTTTGAGTAAAATTGGCCTGATTTTGCTTTTTTTTTTGGCAATCGGGGTCCCAGTTTATAATGGTAGTTAACTGAATAACTAGTCCCAACATTTTGTCGTTACTTTTCTCATTCTTCAACCAGTTGTGATCATGAAACATTATGATTCAAGCTGTATCCAATAATCCAACTCACGGTTGCAACCGATATCGAACAATTCATTCCAGGTAGGATACAGAAGAAGAAAAATTGGTTCCAAATGTGGACGTGTTTCCTGCTGTTTGACAATAACATCTCACAGCATGTGACTGGCTCTATAAAACAGGGTACTACGTGGTTGGAAAGCCCATAATGTAAGCTTTCATTTGGTATATAATAGGGCTCCATAGCCCCTCCCGTTCTGGAAAATATGACGTATTTGCATATTAATTACTTCTTTGGAGTTCAAATTACACAACTGAGAAAACAGGCTTTGAAATAGCTGGCTTTGTTGTAGAACAACAGAATGATACGCACAAAATGGTTGTTTTCCACTTTGTTCATCAAAATCAACATTTCTGTGAATGAAACCTGAAACTGTAGGTATTAAAGATGTCATCCATGTCAAACAATGAAAATCACATTTTGACAAAATTTTCACCCTCTCAATGTTTAGCAGGCCATTACACAATAATGCTCAGCACGACTTAATACCCTTCTTCGTGGAGCCGGTCACATATGTACTGTATGCATTCATTTGGATACTGCGATCTTCATAATATAGATGATTTACGTGGAGACTGAACACAGTTTTGACAATGAAAATGAATGGCTAGTCTACTTATGCAATATTACTGAGTAACATAAACCTGCCCTCAGTATTAAAAGCTGCACTTTAATGGTCTTTCAAAAACAGACATTCAATTAAGGAAAGGGACATCCTGACAAACAGACAGACCTGACTCTGCATCGCAAAGCCTCGCTGTCTTGTCAAAACCACAGCTCAGAACACAGCGACCTCCCTCCCCCCACTGGGCATCCTTCACAGCACCCCTGTGGCAATTCAATGTCTGCAGGCAACCTCCAACCTTGCTGATCCCATTCCAGATCCGTACGGTCTCGTCCATGGATGAGGACAGCAGAAGATGGCTGAACTGAGAGGCGCTACACCAGCGGACGTGGGTCACCGGGCCAGTGTGTGACAAGAGACGCAACGTTCTGTGTTTAGGAAGCTTGGATGTAGTGTGCCTCTCCAATTGATAAGCTATCATGGGTTGCGTCACGTACATGGTTTCTTTTAGTTTTTCCTGAGCTGCCTCTGTCTGCATACTGTGTAGATCCCTTGAGGACTTTGGCGAGGACTGGCGGAGTCTCTTCGGAATATAAGGCTGGGCCACTGATAATCTTTTGCTGCTGACGTCAGGATGACGTGCTATTTCAGACATGGCATGGTATGTTCTGTCTCTTGACTGAGGTAATAATGCTCCTGACGATGCTGTTGGCAGTGTCAAACATTTTGCTGAAGACAACGATTTTTCAAAAGATGTACGAGCAACCTCGTCACCATTAACAACCAAGGCTGGGTTTTGATGACATAACTGTCTGTGCACATGATGTGTCTTACTCCTTTTAGGAGGCCTGCTCCATGGCAACAGCGGATGTAAACGACTTTCCTTAGAGTTTTCTTTGTGTCTTTTGGAGGAATCAAAATCAAGATTTGGTAGAGGCAGTTTTGCACCCAAAGACGATGGCAAACTTTCATCAACTTTTTCCACTGCATTTTGGGACCGACTGGGCATTGGACATGGTGAATTCTCCTCTTCCGAGTCCGAGCTGTGATAAGCCTGGAGGGCATCCATCCTTATTTTATCTACATTGCAATCAAGAAAGTAAAACAAGTTTTAAAAATGATGCAAGAACTTGGTGTCAAATAGCCCCATAAATGTGGCCAATTTACTGGACTACCTCCGTAAATAAAGGCCACACTGCCACCATGTACAAAAACATGTCGAACTTTGTCGAATTTTGATTTTCACATTTAGGCTTAGGTTACTTTGTAGTTTATTTTTTGCTTTAGAAGCATACTCACCCTCTAGGCTAATCAGAAAGTGCTGCCTTTTTTTCGGGTGTCTATTTTTCGTGAAATTTCCAGATTTATTTGCACACGTTCGCGTATCAATATTTTAACATGAAATTTCACGAACAATAGCCTATAAAGACAAATGAAAGAGGGTGAGTATGCTTCTAAAGCAAAAATAAACTACAAACTAAGCCTAAATGTCATGAAATGTGACAGTGAAAATCAAACTTTGACAAAGTTCGACACGTCTTTGTACATGGTGGCAGTGTGGCCTTTATTTACGGAGGCAGTCCAGTAAATTGGCCACATTTTTGGGGCTAGGTGTCAAAGAGTAGAAAGACACACACACACACACACATTGAAAATGGAAATAGTTCTAGCAGAAATTTGTGGTACACACTAGCTAACACACGCCCCCTAGCTTTTCTTTGATCTGTCGTACTAGTGACTGACCAAATCCAAAATTTGAAGAAAAAAAAGAGTTCTAGCGCCCCAGTTAGTGGGTCTATGAAAAGACATAAATCCGGGACCGAGATCGCGAGAAACATTACCAATTTGGAAAGAATGTTGTAACCTGACGCCACTTTTTTCTTTATATATGATATCATCTCAATGAAGGCCAGTCATTGCAAACACGATGATAAGACATGAATCTGGGTCTGAGAAACATTTCCAATTAAGAACATTTTCTTGACTCTCCATATAGACATGCATTGATAGACTTACCGGTAGTAAAGTTTGTACACAACCGACAACCGCTGAAGTGGCGTCAGGTTGCATTCTTTCCCTTAGCTGGAGTTACCCAGCCCTGAGTTTTATCATTGGGTTGTCATCTAGGGCTGGAGCGAGTTTTTCTCGTAACTTGTAGTATAGGCAAAAAAATTTGGAAAATGTTCAATTTTGTCCCCGTTACACACTAATTGTAACTGCAACTCACCCCAAACTTGCCTGGAATAACCATTACACAGGTCCTTGAAGTAAAAAACGATCCACGATGAAGATTCAGCCTACAATTGCAGTGAAAACAGGAGGAATAACCGCTAACCTGACAACCTTTCAGGCATGGCCAGGACCGCAATTGGTTTGTGCACACAAAAAAATTGTGTACAATGAATGGCGGTCGATTAACAGGCACAGAGAGCGATCGCTGTCAACTACTCGGTTTTGCCGCCTGCGCTGGCTGTTGGCGCATGACGTCACGCGAAAGCGTAATACCCGATGACTGTTTCATGCACTAATATAAGGTTTACCACTCGCATCACAGCTTTGGTACTGGAACCGCAACCAATAGTGCATGAAACAGTCATCGGGTGTTACGCTTCCGCGTGACGTCATGCGCCAACAGCCAGCAAAACCGAGTAGTTGACAGCGATCGCTCTCTGTGCCTGTTAATCGACCGCCATTCATTGTACACAATTTTTTGTGTGCACAAACCAATTGCGGTCCTGGCCGTGCCTGAAAGGTTGTCAGGTTAGCGGTTATTCCTCCTGTTTTCACTGCAATTGTAGGCTGAATCTTCATCATGGATCGTTTTTTACTTCAAGGACCTGTGTAATGGTTATTCCAGGCAAGTTTGGGGTGAGTTGCAGTTGCAATTAGTGTGTAACGGGGACAAAATTGAACATTTTCCAAAATTTTTTGCCTATACTACAAGTTACGAGAAAAACTCGCTCCAGCCCTTATAGACAACCCAATGATAAAACTCAGGGCTGGGTAGCTGGAGTTACCCAGCCCTGAGTTTTATCATTGGGTTGTCTATAAGGGCTGGAGCGAATTTTTCTCGTAACTTGTAGTATAGGCAAAAATTTTTGGAAAATGTTCAATTTTGTCCCCATTACACACTAATTGCAACTGCAACTCACCCCAAACTTGCCTGGAATAACCATTACACAGGTCCTTGAAGTAAAAAACGATCCACGATGAAGATTCAGCCTACAATTGCAGTGAAAACAGGAGGAATAACCGCTAACTTGACAACCTTGCTGGATTGGCCAGGACCGCAATTGGTTTGTGCACAAAAAAAATTGTGTACAATGAATGGCGGTCGATTAACAGGCACAGAGAGCGATCGCTGTCAACTACTCGGTTTTGCCGGCTGCGCTGGCTGTTGGCGCATGACGTCAAGCGGAAGCGTAACATCCGATGACTGTTTCATGCACTAATATAAGGTTTACCACTCGTATCACAGCTTTGGTACTGGAACCGCAACCAATAGTGCATGAAACAGTCATCGGGTGTTACGCTTCCGCGTGACGTCATGCGCCAACAGCCAGCGCAGCCGGCAAAACCGAGTAGTTGACAGCGATCGCTCTCTGTGCCTGTTAATCGACCGCCATTCATTGTACACAATTTTTTTGTGCACAAACCAATTGCGGTCCTGGCCAATCCAGCAAGGTTGTCAAGTTAGCGGTTATTCCTCCTGTTTTCACTGCAATTGTAGGCTGAATCTTCATCGTGGATCGTTTTTTACTTCAAGGACCTGTGACGACTGTAATGGTTATTCCAGGCAAGTTTGGGGTGAGTTGCAGTTGCAATTAGTGTGTAACGGGGACAAAATTGAATATTTTCCAAAAATTTTTGCCAATACTACAAGTTACGAGAAAAATTCGCTCCAGCCCTAGTAATAGACAACCCAATGATAAAACTCAGGGCTGGGTAACTCCAGCTTAGGGCTGGGTAACTCCAGCTATCTTTCCCTCAATATTACTAGTAAATATTTTGAAAATGCACTCGACTCTCTATAGACTTTGTACACAACCAAAGAGGTGGCCTCTGGATATAGGGCCCTACATTCATTCCAGTCTTCGCTTAGTTATAGTATCATATTTAAGTCAGACTGAGACAGAATGATGCTTAGCATTTCTTCTTACCTTCAAGGCTTCAGGCTTCGTTTTTGTAAACACTAGTGCAGTGCCCGTCTAAAATGTGCATGTTCGGGAAACGCAAATTGTTTTGCCGCTGGTATAGGTTGCATACTTGCAGAGTTTTGGAGAACTGCTCGTGCAAACAACACACGCGATTCAATGGTGCTGTTTTCACAGGTTGAACGCACACTTACGTCAAAGTTTGTGCCAAGTTTGAAGTTCGACCACCTACAATGGTCGCTCAGTCGACTGCAAAAATAATGTGCCCGTGTACATACACAAAAATGGTATGCAGTGCTATTCACCCATACTGTATCGCCCTACAATGCACGTGCGCGTACCCGTCCTTTTTGCATTGTTTGCGTCATATTGAGCACGCGCGCTTTAGCTTAAACATGACGTAAACAATTGAAAAGAACTTCAGCGCGTGCGGGTGTTATGTTCTAAGCTATATACTGCCACGTTTGCCTCCGAAAATACTGCTTTTTTGCAGCTTTTTCGACAACCGCTGGTCCAAACTACTTCAAACTTTGCACTGCACATTCTGTGGTCCCGAAAAATACACCCGCCGATTTTCAACTTCATACGGTGCCCAGTTCTGGAGATAATCGACGGACAGACAGACAGACAGAGATTCCTGGAATTATAGTAAGACTAGTGCAGGGCCAGTCGAAAAAACAACGCACATTATTGTGAACGCACACTTGCAAGTTAAACGCACAAAATGTCGTCACCCCCTGGCACTGAAATTTACCCCCACTGGACAATATGGTATCGCCCTACAACTGTAGGTCGTAGTTGTAGGGCGATACCATATTGTATTAGAGTTGATCAGTCGACCGCCTACATGGGTGCAGACCAGTAAATCGGTCCGAAATTGCCTGCGCCGGCCAAATCACGATTTGCATGCCCTCAAAATCTTCGGTATTTGGGCATGCTTTGGGCCATGAACTTGAGGGTTTGTAAAAAATATGGGTGGAAGCCGTGCACAGGACTGGGAGCTTGCAGTTCTGTGTAATTTTGATGTAATTTGGACCCTAAAAGCGCTCTATTTTGCAATGGAGTGTAGGCATCGTTTTTCAAAATGGCGATGGGCTTCAGGACTATTTTCAGGGGTGATCATCTTCAGATGGAAATTTCTCCTAAAAGTCATCAGTTGACCCCCCGAAAATTGAAAAGAAAATGAAAGATGATGAAATAAGCTTGAATTTGATGTGCGTCTCGAACACCTTGGAGAGTTGTGAGTATTTTTCCCGAATTTTTGAAGTGGGAGCATTTACCATTGGGGTCTATGGAAGTTTATTTACTGGTCTGCTACCACATACAGTGCAGTGATGGCTGCTCAGTGGACTACAATTAAATGCATGTGCCCATGCCCTGTGCCCGTGCATGCCACTCACGTACATGTACGTACGGAGACATGGTGTGCAGTGCTATTCACCCATACCGCACAATGGTGTCGCCCTACAATGGTGTGCATGTTCGGAAACGCAAATTGCTTTGCCGCTGGTATAGGTTGCATACTTGCAGAGTTTTGGAAAACTGCTCGTGCAAACAACGCCCGCGATTTCAATGGTGTTGTTTTCACAGGTTGAACGCACACTTACGTCAAAGTTTGAGCACGCGCGATTGAGCTTTACATGACGTAAACAATTGAAAAGAACGGCAGTGCGTGGTATTGAGCACGCGCGCTTTAGCTTAAACATGACGTAAACAATTGAAAAGAACGGCAGTGCGTGGTGTTATGTTCTAAGCTGCCACGTTGAGGCTGGGCCGAGAATGCTGCTTTTTTGCAGCTTTTTCGAGAACCCCTCGTCCAAACCACTTCAAACTTGGCACTGCACATTCGGTTGTCCCGAGCAATACACCCGCCAAAATTCAATTTCATACGGTGCCCGGTTCTGGAGATAATCGGCGGACAGACAGACAGACGGACAGACAGACAGACAGACAGAGATTCCTTGAATTGTAGTATAGATGCCTCTTTGAGGCGCCCTCAAGTGTCCAACTAAAGAGCGCCCTCTTCTTCCTTGACGGGCACCATTATATATGGAGATCAATGCGGGGCACGTTCGAGTAGCTCACCCGGATCGACTTGGGTTAGCCCTGGGCCGTTCGATTAGCTCCGACGTCATTCATTCATTCATTCATTCTTTATTACTTTTACCACATCTCATTTCATTAAGTGACAAGGCATAAATACATACATTTAGTTTTGGGTATTATAAAGTTCGAGCTTGTTTTACAAAATATATATATTTATACACTTTAGTCATTCTTTTCGGGGTTCACCCGGATCAGCCACCACAGGCCCTGCAGAGCAACTCATGCATTTTGTCACTTCCAAACTCGACTTCTGCAACAGCCTGCTTACCGGTCTTACACACTGATACATCGTCTGCAACTTAATTGTACAGAACGCTGCTGTGCGTCTTCTAACAGGTTCCAAAAGATCAGATCACATCACTCCCATCCTCAACAAGCTACATAGGTTACCGGTTAAAACAGAATTCAATTCAAGATCCCCTCCTCACATTCATGACGCTTCATGGCTCTGCCCCTCTTTATTTAACGAACATGCTGCAACCCCGCTCTGTTCCTCGGACTCGACCAGCCAGTTACGGAGACGGAGCTTTTTCGAGCATTGCCCCTCGCCTATGGAACTCAATCCCAGCATATATCTCGGACAAGAACATGACATCATACACTTTCAACAGCATCTCATAACATACATTTTTCACTAGCTTTTTCATCCTAATCACAAAATTGAGTTTTCTGTTCTCATCTCTACCTAGACCGGCGCCTTTGAATGTTACACAGACAAAGTGCGCCTTATGCTGCTAATTATTATTACTACTATATAATTATGGGATAGAGCAGACATGTCATGTCAATGGTGGAAATACAGGGTGTGTCAAAAAATTGTAACCCAAACCCCCAAAATTATATTTCATATTTTAAAAAATGTAGCACCAAAAGTAATGACTGGAAAGCCAATTTCATAAGCTTCTTTTAGATGAAAAAAAAATACTGAAATTGCTCAATCCGTTCAAAGAATATCACCATTTAAACACAATGACCCTAAAACCTCTTTCGTTCAAAAACGCGATTTCAAGAATCGTCATTATTGTCTTCAAACATCATCAGCGATAAAACCTCGGTTTAAAAGTTAAAAACACTCAACAAAGACCATTTGAAGGCCCGTCTTTTAAAAAAAGGTGATTTTATAAATCATACTGTTTGCCTAAGCAGGGTTATTTATAAACATATTGTGTACTACAGTTGGTGACAGTTGTTGAAACAATTATTCTTTCATTTTCTTTGTTGTTCCAAACGGTAAGAATACACACTAAATTGTTTGTTTTTAGACGAAACAAGTTTTAGGGTTATTACGTTTAACCCTAACTCCCTGGGGTGTGCAAAATCGTATTGAAATTGGAGGATTCAGGACTGTTAGGCCCCCCCAAAAATATTCGGTCTCTGGTCAGACCAAAGTTCCGGAATTGATGCGGCGACGCGTTTTTTTTTTTTTTTGGCGTTTTTTTTTTTTCAAGCTTGGATTGTACAGACATGGTGGGTACTATTTTGCTTTTGTTGTGTCCTCATATACATTGGGGTCCTCCATAATTTGCCTTGGTGCCCTCCATCATGTGCAATTTCCCCATTCCTTGGTACAACAATTTGAGGAGGTGCGGCAATAGAGGGCGCTGCTGTAACTACCGCGGACAATTTGAAGAAAAAAAAAGGTTGACGCGCATAATTAAAATCGACGCGCGCGCTGACCAGAGACCGACTAATTTTTGTTTTTGGCCTTATAGAACAGAATCCACAAAAGCTTCCTTGTTGTATTGCCAGTGTCTTACAAAATGTGACGCATAAAGCTATTTTCAACGTTTCATTAGACAATCGATGAAATATATTATTTGATTTAATCTTAATTGTCAAACATGCGTCGAATCCAAGTCGTTTTAAGCACACTTGCAAGAGCTAAATTCTATTGTATGATCTACAAGGGCTTAAGTATGGGAAGGCAAATAAAATCATATAAAAATATAATTTGTTTTTAAAACCGAACCATTAAAAAAAGGTCCTTGATTGACTATGGTATTAAAATATATACTAGGTAAATCTGTCAAATTTGCTACGTTTCTGTGAGATGGCATACTGTCTCTCGCATGCCTTTTTTTTTTTAGAGGAATCTAGACCTTTATCATGCTGCCACCATTTCAGTCATGTTCCCTGTGTCCAATAACAGTACTGCATGAATGATAATGTTTTTTTGTGCAAAAAGGAACAGACTATTTTTCCTTCAAGCATCGCTTTGGTTACGTTGATTTGAATGGGGAAAAATCAAGATGGCCGCAACATGATAATGGTCTATACAGACAGAAGATAATGGCTTAAATTTAGACCTGATCGAATCTATCTGCTGCTCTATCTGCGATTGTAAGACGTATGGCAAGTTCTTCTCTTTGCTTCTAATGTACCAAATTTAACTGACAGAGTCCATCCCCGTTTTGCGTAAATTTGCTATTGGTTGTTTGAACTTGCTCCTTTCATCACGGTACGTAAATTATGCCGTTTTTTGATAGGGAACAGTCTGTCGATCAATTTTCCAGAAACCTGTTGGAATAACATAAAACCAACTTCCCGTTTCCATCTAAAAGTACAAGAAGTGTGAACTTGTAGCCAAGTGTTGTCTTCAAATCGCGAATTGCCATGACATCATAATACTAGGTAAAGGTAAAGGGGCGAACCTGTGTTAAGGAGTGCCCATCTCTCTGTCGTTAGCGATTGGGCCAGACTCATATGCTGCTGTGGGAGGATCGCCACACCTCCTCCACGGCGAGTCTGTTTCCCAGCATTGAATAATGCCGATACCCATTTAACACTTGGGTTGAGAGGGGTAATTGAGGTAAAGCGCCTTACTCAAGGGCACAACACGCATGTCCACGATGGGGCTCGAACCCACAACCCCACGATCATGAATCCTGTGCTCCACCGCTAGACCACACGTGTATAATATTACAGCCTGAAGACTTCTCTTTACTATTAGACAAGGAACACTTCTTAAAAGTTTTAGTTTGTAAATACTGAATTCCTGACAAGAGATTAGGACGGACTTCTTTCTGACTCTCCGTTGTCCATTTTTTCTAATTGTTGCCCCAACCGGAACTGTAAAAGGCTATACTAGACCGTTTATTTATAGGGTAGGCCTAAAGATCTGTTTTGTTTTTAAGGCGGATGGTGAACATATCGGCTAGGTATCCACTGTGGTAAGGTATAGCCGTCTTCTCGATCAATTCCCAAGTTCCTTTGTTGAGAAGTTCTTGGATGCCATTCCCAATGACCAGTCTGTGGTCAGGTACATCATCGTCATATTCCACTCTGCTCAGAGTAAACACCATGAAACCACCTGTCATCAAATCAAAATCAAGGTGAGAGTCTATACAGTCAACAGATATTATTTTTATCTTATTAATGCAAGGTATATACTCACATTATAAATAAAAAGTACGCTGGGATCTTCATTTGCAGTGATCGATGCGTCCTAATATAGGGCTTTCCGAATAATTGTAAAGTGCTTAAAGTTTCCGCTCAATTCGCCACTCCAAGTTGAAAATGTTCGAAGATATGCATGACCTCTCCGAAAGGCTATAATAAAACAAGTAGGCCTAAATGTCCAAAATTCGGATACCTTTTTGGACTATTCTGTTCCATTCAGGGAATGCCGACTGTGTGATGTGATTCATCCCTAGGGCGCCAACACAAATAAGACCGCTGTAAGAATCTGAAATAAGCAACACGTTATGAAGAATGAATCTTTCCAGTTAACGCAGAAAACATATAATCGGAATCCTAATCCCATGGAGAATTTAATACTTCGCTACTCACTTGCTGGTTACCAAAAATAGAATACTTTTGAGTTTAATAACGTTGGTAAAAAAAATCTACACTATGTGCACTGGAATACATTAGTCAGGTATATCGCCACAATATCGCAGGGCGGGGGTGGGGTGGGGGTGGGGGTGGGGGGTGTTACCCATCGCCTAGGATCGCTACCCACGTCGCGTGAACGGACTTCTTCCAAAAGGTTTAGTTCCTTATTTGTTTTCCACAATGATGTTTTTTTTTGAACATCATAACAAAGTAGGCCTACGAAGAATATAGTGCATGGCCAATAACATTTTGATTTTTTTTCGTTATTATCAGTTGGAAATTGAAAATACCAAATTTTAGGTGACACGTAAAACTTGTTATTTTATTCGTACCGTCTTTGATTTCTTCGATTTTGTTTTCATCGAATTTATTACATATGAGCCGTCTGTAGACTCCTTTCGAGGCGCTGATGTCCAAACTCTGCTGGGAATAGTCCACGGCATCGACATTCTTGAAACCAACTGTTCTCAACTTTTGTAAAAAGAATAAAAAAGTACGGATGGTTCTAAATCTTCTTATAATATAATATTTATTGATTTGGCCTTGTATTTGAGATCATCAAAAAAAATTCTAAGATAAGGGCAAAATTACTGTAAGAACAAGGGACTACATGTATGAGTATTGAACTTTCATTGGAAATGCTGGGTAACTTAATTTCTAGTGGCATTCAACGCTAACGCCTCTTTCCCGTCATGAATAATTCTCATTGTCCGTGGCCCCAACATGAACAGAAACGTTATGACCCTAAAATGAGATCAAAATGTCCCGTTACACAATACCTCTTCGCCAACGATACCGGTGCCGGCAGCACAGTCGACGATGGGGGCGCTCTTATCTGATAGCACTTTACCAAGAGCTTCTGCGCATATGCCAGGCGCCTCATAGTCTGAAGATTTCAAATCCTGCGAGGAAGACGTTGTAGAGTGTGCATGAGGTTTTTAGAGTATCTTAGAGTAATTCTTATTTCAAGTAAATCCTGTCTGACTAGTATATATTAGTACTGCCCCATGAGCAGTTCTAGTCATTATTCATAAGATGAAATTTGCGCGTCGGGGTGATATAAATTCAATACATGTACATGCATAATAGGTTTTGCCCTTCACCGACGTATAAACACTGTATACTCAGTGAGCAGTCCCCCCCCCCCCCCCCCCCCCATTGATAGTGAGAAAAAAACCACTCGGGCGGGACTGGAACCCACAGCGTCCTGCTTTCTAGTGCGGACGTCTTACCAGTCGACCACCGAGCTTGCGGGATCGGTTGGCTGGTTCGAATGTGATCTGGCAGCGGGTACCGTAATTAACTACATGTATTCATAAGAATGCAATTAGAGTCGGGTTGATGTAAATTCATCGTGGGTACGAGTCCCACCCGAGTGATTTTTTTGGGGTCCGCTCACGAGCCTCATAGCTCCACGCCTCATAAGTCCGAAACATCGTTTGTCCATTGTCGGACTTATGAGGCGTCGGACTTATGATGAGGCGTCGGACTTATGAGGCGTCGGACTTATGAGACGTCGGACCTATGAGGCGGAGTTTATGCCTCATAAGTCCAACGCCTGATATTTCGGACTTATGAGGCGTCGGACCTAGTATGAGGCGTCGGACTTATGATACGGCCCCGATTTTTTTTCTCACTTTCACTGGGGGTAACACACTACAGTGTATCCAGTGTTTCATACGTCGGTGAAGGGCAAAACCTAATATTGAATATATAGTAATAATTATAGGTCTTCCCAGCCAATTTCCTGAAATGTTCATTCACTTCAGGAAATCGGTCATTCTTTTTCGTCTGAATATGAATGCACGTCTTTAATCCCTTTTCAATTTAACGAAAGTTCAATCGTTTTCATTGTCCGTGCATTCTGTTTTGAGAAACAGACTGCCAATTTCACTACCCGTGCATTCATTTACGAATAATACAATTTCGTGAATGTGCAATCAAAAGCACGTTTCTCTCATTCAAAATAGCAGATTAGATCACATGACATTAAACTAAAAGTGAAATAGAATGGTCAATGTCTGAAATTGCCCTCTAAAAGCGAAAAAGAAGTCTTGTAAACGAATCTGAATGAACATGAACGATAGGTGCTGCTCAATCACTTAATTGATTGAACCGAAATGGATTCGAATGCTCTGTACAGTGTTAGCGAAAATGAACGGCGTGTTCAGAGCGATTCTCAAATTCAGACGAAAATGAATGATTGATTTTCAGAAGTGAATGAACATTTTAGGAAATTGGCCAGGAAAACCTATATATTATTTTCTTAAACCTTGTTCCAGTTCTTTTTTTCCTCAGTTAACACTGAATCAGAGCAGTAACTCAGTGCATATTTAAAATTGATGTGGATGATAAAATCGCGGTTAACCTGTACTCAACTATTAGAAGTTTGTTTATTGACAACCTATATTCCCCATACCCAGTCGAGCTGCGCTTTTGTGTATAAGCCCCCATCCGAATGGCGTGATGGATTATCTTATCATTTATCTCAACCGGCAAAGCGTATACACAAACGCAAAATGTATACGCTCTGCCGGTTGAGGAATGTTAAGTTTAGTATTCATTGCCATTCACATTGTATCAAAGGCATTCCATTCCATGCAAGATCACTTGTGTTAAGGTCACTTGAAAGGTCAAATAAACCATGCTTGCATGGCACCACAATCGAACACAGTTGTCTAGCTCGAATAGTCCTAGCCCCATAAATGGTGGCCTATTTACTGGACTGCCTCCGTAAACATAGGCCACACATCCACATGTACAAAAACGTGTCGACTTTGCCAAATTTTGATTTTCACATTTAGGCTTACTTTGTAGGTTTTTTTTGCTTTAGAAGCATTCTCACCCCCTATATAGGCTAATCAGAAAGTGCTGCCTTTTTCAGATGTCTAATTTTTGTGAAATTTCATGTTGAAATTTTGATACGCAAACGTGTGCAAATGTATCTGGAAATTTCACGAAAAATGAACATCTGAAAAAGGCAGCACTTTCTGATTAGCCTATATAGAGGGTGAGAATGCTTCTAAAGCAAAAATAACCTACAAAGTAAGTCTAAATGTGAAAATCAAAATTTGGCAAAGTCGACACGTTTTTGTACATGTGGATGTGTGGCCTATGTTTACGGAGGCAGTCCAGTAAATAGGCCACATTTATGGGGCTAGAATAGTCCTCTAAGTTCAATCATTGATCACACTAAGGTCAGCACGTGGCCAGCCATCGCGCCATATTTATACCGGTACTGTGTCATGTTCATACTGACCTTATCGTATGAATCTGCCCAATTCTCGTAATATTCCAGCATTTGTTCCGGAGTCAGGAGATGGATCTTGTGAATTAGCTGGCCGGTGGTCTCAGCGACTTGTTGGGGCACTTTACGGGCTTCCATATGGTAAATCTGCTTACAGAAAAACAAATTCCGCAGCAAAATTTGGTGTTGGTGTAATTTAAAGTCTGGTACACACGCTGCGCGGCCGGGGGGCGGCCCTAGTCCTCGGCTATCACGACCACACACACCACGTACATGTATGTACGTATGTACGTACATACATGTACGTGTTGGATGGTTCAGGGCGACCACGTTCCCAAGCCGCTAGACAATAGAAGACCCTGGGAGGGTAGTTTGCATATCGTACATCGGGTGCGTTCGTTTAGCTCACCCGGGTCGACACGGGTAATACGTAAAGGCGGACGGGTCAGCCACAAGAGCCTGGGCGTCACGTGAGGATCTTGATGCCCCGCTGTTGAGCGTTCGATTAGCCCGGCTGTCGTGGTTGACCCGTCTGCCTTCACCCGCAGCAAAATTTGGTGTTGGTGTAATTTAAAGTCTGGTACACACGCTGCGCGGCCGGGGGGCGGCCCTAGTCCTCGGCTATCACGACCACACACACCACGTACATGTATGTACGTATGTACGTACATACATGTACGTGTTGGATGGTTCAGGGCGACCACGTTCCCAAGCCGCTAGACAATAGAAGACCCTGGGAGGGTAGTTTGCATATCGTACATCGGGTGCGTTCGTTTAGCTCACCCGGGTCGACACGGACGGGTCAGCCACAAGAGCCTGGGCGTCACGTGAGGATCTTGATGCCCCGCTGTTGAGCGTTCGATTAGCCCGGCTGTCGTGGTTGACCCGTCTGCCTTCACCCGTGTCTACCCGGGTGAGCTTAACGGACGCACTCATTATGCTTGGTCGTTTTATTTCCAACGTACCAAAACGTGTCTACTTTCATGCTACTTCGCTGCGCTCATACGCATGAAAAACAGTTTAATTCTATGAGTGACCAGACAAAAGGAGGACACAATAAGACGATATAAGGTTAGTTGGATTAGTTTATTTACAGCATGGGTGTAGGTCTTGCAATATAAGACGCATTTTGAATAAAACAAAGTATTTTGATAGGGGATCAGCTATACCTGAGAGGGTCAGCAGGATTAGACGGAGGTTTGAAAACTCCATCTTGAGAGAGGTCGCGTCTCTTGCATTTGCGGCCTTCTATCTCTTTGAGGGCTTCTTCCTCCGCAGATTTGACCTTCTTCTGTTGCTCGGCTGTCAGGTGATCTGACGATTTCTTCTCCAAGTAAGAAACAGTCATCCAACGGGCCTTGCTGTCGTTCGCAATCCTGATCTTGTTCTTTCACTTCGATATCGGCTATTTCACGAAATATGGATTCGGTGTAGGCCTACGTCGTTCTTTGAAGTTATACTGCGAAATTTAATCTCGCAAAGTAAAAGTGAGCTTTGTTGCCGTGTTTAGTTAGTTCTTTAGCCTCTAGCTTGTTCCTTAGCTTTTCTAGTCAAGGAAGTGTCATCACTGTGGAGCTTAGTAATGTCTCTCGGAATTTCTCATCGAAATAACCTTTAAATTTCTGGAACAGAGATGCAGGAGCAAACGTGGTCTCATCTGATTTCGACATATCACAGAGGTAGGTACAGATAAAATTGACAAGGCATTATGGACAATCGTCAGTGACACTTAGCGTCTGTGCAGCAACCTGAAGTGGCGGGAGATACGTGGCATATGATATAGTATAGTGGTGTCACACCTGATTGATTAGGGATGTCATCTGAGAATCTTAGGAATGTCAGAAAGGTGTGTCGAACAAGGGGCTATATCGTATGCGGGGGGGGGGGGGGGGCTCTATCCCGTAAAGCTTAAAGTAGCAATTCTGGTTCCGCATAACAAAACTGTATGTTCACTGTTTGAAGAAATTGAAAACCATGGCCGGGTTTGTGGTACCAACCTGGCTTGATCTGCATCAACGTTTTTTTTTGCGACGTGCACAGCTTCGAGGTTGTACAAAATGATCAAGCCAAGGTTATATTATACATCCTGTTGTCCGATCTCTCAATCCGCTGCAACTGCCCCCGACTGGGGACGGGCTGTGGTGGGTTGAGCGGGCCAGGAACCTTCCCTCTCCAGAAGCAGCAACTGCCTTGACATAGTAATCGCTTCAGTCATCATCTTTGGAGTACTCCCTCTTATTATTTTTTAAACTGGGAACTGTTGGTACTGAGTGACGTACACCAGAGCTTGCCTGCTGGAACTATGATGTGCATTTTTCAATTGGAGTATTGTTCCTTAATTCATTTATGCCTGAATATGTCTGTTGTTGGCATTTCTTCCTGGTCTACTTCCACAGTGGGAACATAATGGTCTTGGAACTAGTTTCCAACTTCCAATTATGTTCAATCCTTCTCAACATTGTTTTAGTCAGTACGCTAGACACCACATCCAGTACCAGGGCAGTCTACGTCTTGGTGCAAGACTGGAGTCTGATTTTTTTCCTATATAATGCAGCCACTGATCTCTCTAGTGCAGCCTCCCACTGAAAAGCGCGGTAAATCGGCCGCGCGGCGGTAGATCGAGGTCGCCATCAACAATAATAATAAATCCAGCCTTTGGAACTTAGGCAGCGCTTCCTAGCATATTCCGAGCATACTGTCACGGACAGTTTGTATAGCGCTTTTGTTGTTGCTTTTGTTCCTAGCCGCCGCCGGAGGGCTCCGATGGCGCATTGTTGGCGGGTTGCGTAATTTTTTTTCCTAGGAGGGTTAGGGGCAATGTCATGAATAATTCAGTCTTTCCTTTGAATCATTGCACTACTTAGGTTCTCGTTCTATTTTCCCCTTAATTTAAAATTATCTCAGTGATAAATTTGGAGAAGAAAAATAGCTGATGAAAATGAGCAGCGACGACGTGGATTCGAACCAGGGATCTTTGTATCCAAAGCTCATCTCGCTATCCACTAGGCTACTGTGTGGTAGCTCGACGACAACCGTTCTTTAAAATGCTTTAATATATTGTAACTAGTTGAGTAACTAACAACAATGCTGTTGATGTCATTGTCCGTTCTCATGGATAAACATGAATTATTCATGACATTGCCCCTAACCCTCCTAGGAATAAAAATTACGCTGGCGGGTTGGGCCACAGGTACGTTCTGACCTGGTTTTGAGTCTGGCTAGCGCGTGCTCCGGAAATATAGGTTCCATAAATAGGTTGCTTAAGCGGGGTGTTACAACTGATAATGTAGTAACCAACCGATAACGTATCACTAACCGATAATGTATCACAAATTGACCGATATTGTATCACTAACCGATAATGTACCAAAAATTGACTGATAGTGTAGTAAAATTTGTATCCGATAATGTATCACGTGTCGACGGATAATGTAACTACAAAATAACTGTATCCGATAATGTATCACCACGGAACGGTTACTGTATCAACCAATAATGTATCAAAAATCAACCGATAATGTATCAGTATTGGGAAAAGGTGGAAATATTACAAATTAATTAAAGTCTAATAAATGCCTTTACTATGATAAGTCCCCACTCGAGAAAGTTTATCATTAAGAATATATTTTTTTGAATTCGGGAGGTAGGGAGTTGCTCTGGTTTGGAGACGCTCTACTTCCACGTGGGCCTAGGCTAGTGGCGTATCCAGCTTTTGATGTCAAGGGGGGGGGGGGGGGTAACCGCACTCGCACATCCGCACCGAAATGTGGACAAGTTCTTTTCTCCGGACACTTGGCCTCTATATGGGCTCCGTGCTGCGACACAAGAGGGCGCGTTTTACCACTACGGGACCATTGATCTCCGTATGGAGATCAATGGACGGGACACAGCATGTGCGTACTGTACTGGTTCGCGCGCAAAGTTCCACACCACTTCCAGAATGTGCCAGAATGTGGATATTAGCAACAGCGTCTTCGCATGGGAGCGTCAGGCAACTTCGGCGCGCGCATACGTTCAATTTAACTTGCGATGATCTCCCAGACTATTCCCTCCCCCAATAACTTTGCACATTCAAAATACGCGCTGTGCATGAACCGGGAACACATACGAGTGGCGAGGCATGTGTATAGCAAAACTACCATCTGAAATGATCATGAAACTTGAGCTGTCACAAAAGATACAATGTAACAAGTTTACCGGATTTAGGCGGCAATCGTCGAAGATAGTGTAGATGCGATCAAGCTTCATGGGTCCCTTGTCGTCCCCAGTCGATTTTTTTTCTTACAGATTTGAAAAGGGCACAATCACAGCATTACTGCTCATTTAGTGGGGGGATGAGGGGGGGGGGGGGGTGAGGGGGGATGAGGGGAGGGGGTCGATGAGGGGGGGGGGGGGTCGTGCCATATTTTCAACGGGGAGCGCTGATAAAATCCTACAATCATGTACACAATATTACTGTACCGTACAAAATAATGCCCCGGCTTTTTTTAGGGGGGGGGGGGCACCGTTCGCATGTGACGTCATTTGTTATTTACCCACTGACTTCAGTTTGTTCAACCCACACAGTTTGGAGTCCAAACGTCACGAGCCTGCCGCTTCCTTGAGGCCAACACAGGCGCGGATCCGGGGGGGGGGGCGGGTCCCCCAGCTGTGTCCCAAAACAAATTGCATACAAATTCCTAAAAAAAAAAATGCACCCCCCTCCCTCTGCTGTGACACCCCCCAAAAAATTACTGGTATAATGTTCGCCTTTTCAAAATACGGACGGAGGCAGCTTAGATAGGGGGTATTTTTGTGTACACCTTTTCCCCATACTGATACATTATCGGTTGATTTTTGATACATTATCGGTTGATACAGTATCCGTTCCGTGGTGATACATTATCGGATACAGTTATTTTGTAGTTACATTATCCGTCGACACGTGATACATTATCGGATACAAATTTTACTACACTATCAGTCAATTTTTGGTAAATTATCGGTTAGTGATACAATATCGGTCAATTTGTGATACATTATCGGTTGGTGATACGTTATCCGTTGGTTACTACATTATCAGTTGTAACACGGGGTTCTATTGTGAAATACGCGGGTAGGGCTTGGTTAGATTCCAGGGTTGGGTAAAGTTGTAACATTGTAATACCTAGTGTGAAGCTGTGCTTGTCTCACGTATGTTTATGAGCCTATTGCCTGTGTAGTGCCTCCACATGCGCAGTGGGAGACATCCACTTAGTCTTTGCATGTTGGCGACATTTTACCAACATTATGCTCAATAAATGTCAGAAATGTTCTACTATATGAGTTTTCCAAATGTTATACCTGTTACGATAAACACCCACCGGAAAAAAACTCTGCGGAGGCCAACATTTCAGTGCCATTGACCGTTCTCGTACGTCTTTAATGCAGCCGTATCTGAATCAACCATTTTGTAAACTGTGCATGTGCACATGCAATACGCTTAAGACTATCAAGATGCAGGCTGCAGACAAAATGCAGGCTTGTCTTTATCTCAAATTGACAAAGTTCCGCATAAATATTCTTTGTTGTAATAAATCCTAGATCTCACAACAAGTGACCCAGAAGCAATTTTCAACGTTTCATCCGATTATCGATTTGATGTTTTATTTTAATTTACTTTAATACTAATTATCAATTGCGACGAGTTTAAGTTGTTTTAAGCACACTTGCAATAGCTAAATTCTGTTGTATGATTAACAAGGTCTAAAGTATGGGAAAGCAAATTATATCATACAAAAATCTTTAAACTTTAAAAAAGCACTTAACTTAAAAAAAAACCAACCATCTACTTATAAAAAATAGTGTCCTTGAAAAAGTTGACAGTTATGGTATTCAAGTGTACGTGTGGGTAAACCAGTCAAATCTGCTATGTTTTTGGTGGATGGCATACTGTTTCCAGTACAGCAAACGATCTGATGGGTAAAATTTTGACCTTACCGAATCATATGCTGTTCTCTCTGCGACTGTAGAAAGGGTACCGCAAGTTCTTCACTTGTACCAAATTTAACTTGTACGAAATTGAACTGGGTCAAATTTGCCATTGGTTGGACAACAACAACATAACGTGCAAAATAGCCCCTTTTACTTATGCCTTATTTGGATCGATAGGGAACAGTCTATCTTTAGACAGAAACTTGTTGGAATAAAATAAAACTAAATTCCCATTTCCAAATCTACAAGAAGTAGCACATGCCAAATGTTGTCTTAACCTCGCGAATTGCCATGGCATTATAATAATACTGAAGACTTATCTCAATTATTAGACAAGGGACACTAAATTCTTGGCCTTTTTAAAGTTTTACTTTGTAAATACTTAACTTGTGACTCTCCATTCTTTTTTTCTTTTTTCATCAACCGTTACTTTGGTTACTGGTAATAAAACGGCTTAACTAGACGGCCTATGAGGCTAGGCCTAAAGATCTGTTTTGGTTTTAAGGCGGATGGTGAACATATCGGCTAGGTATCCACTGTAGTACGGTATAGCCGTCTTCTCGATCAATTCCCAAGTTCCTTTGTCGAGAAGTTCTTGGATGCCATTTCCAAGGACCACTCTTTGGTCGGGTAAACCATCGTCATATTCCACTCTGCTCAGAGTGAACACCATGAGACCACCTGTCATCAAAACAAATCAAGGTAAGTCCCAGCACAGTCAACACCTTGGTTTTGTTCATGCAAGGTACATAAAATTATATTCGTGGATCTTCATTCCAGCGATTGATGTGTCGTAACATTGCGCTTTCAGCCCAAATAGGCCAGTACTCATGCTTGAAGTTGACGCTCGATACGCAAGTCCATGGTTAACATGTCCTAATACATGTATTGCCTTCTCAAATAACTAAAAAGAAACGAGTACCTGAAATTCAATGTTCCTAATTCTGATACCTTTTTGGACTATTCTGTTCCATTCAGGGAATGCCGACGGTGTTATGTGATTCGTCCCAAGAGAGCCAACACAAGTAAGACCGCTGTAAGAATCTGAAGAAAAAAAACCCCACAAAACATCAGGCCTATGAAGAACTACGGTACCTCTCCAGACACCTCCGAAATAATTATTTATCCTCATCCCATGAAAACAATTTAATGCTTCACTTGCTCGTTACAAAAAAAAGAGAATACTTTTGAGTTTATTTTAGGTGACTTTGGTTAAAATATGCATTGGAATAGACCTACACTATTCATCTACATGTACATGTATATTCATCTTTCCTTTGATGTCTTTCCTTGAAAATGTTATAACATAGGTCGAGGAATATTGCACGGTAAATATCATTTCAACTTGTTTTTATTACCAGTTTGAAAAAGGAATACCCAATTTTTGAATGATACATAAAACTTGTTATTTTATTCTTACGGTCTTTGATTTCCTCGATTTTGTTTTCATCGAATTTATTACAAATGAGCTGCCTGTACACTCCTTTCGAGGCGCTGATGTCCAAACTCTGCTGGGAATAGTCCACGGCATCGATAGTCTTGAAACCAACTTTTGTCAACTGTGGTAAAAAAAGAAGTAAAAAATTGGTTGGTTCTTAAATCGAAATCTTTTTGGGTTTTTTTAGTAGTAGAAACATATATTTCAATGTTGCCATTTCCACACTATAAGATGTTACAATGCCGTGTAAACATATTATACAGAGCGAAATGCAATGAATTATGTAATGGTGTATAATAATGTACATGGATCAACACTAAAACAAATTAACGACAACATTTAGGTATAAGGTGAAGCGTCATGCTTTTGTACCTTAACCTATCGACAGACAAGTGGACATGACCGAGAAAAACACAGAGACAGTGACAAGGACAAAATTGATAACAGTCAGACACACAAAGACACAACCTAGAAAAACACAAACTGGTATGAGACGAGAGCATACATCTAGATTCATAAATTGTAACTAGTTATTCGAATAAGATTTAAGTAGATGTGATCTAAGGTTTTTAACAAAGACAGAGAAGGAGGGTGATGATTTTAAGAAGTCATCTAGGCTATTCCAATATGAAGTACCACGTTGAATAACGCTATTTTGAGACAATGTTGTTCTGTTTAATTGGACCTATAAATTTCTCCTACAAGTGCTTCGGGTATTATACAAATGAATATCAGATGTGAACATAAAGAAGGGGTTGAAACAAGTAAGAAATGTATTGTTTGTAATGTATTGTTTGTAAACCTATACGTAAATTTACCCAGGTTAAAGTAGTAGATCATTGAATTGTAAGAGTCTCAAATTCGCAAATAAAGGAAGGGTATATGATCACGATAACCAGCATGAGATATTAATCGGACCGCTCGCTTCTGTAACATGAGCAGTTTGTTGCATTTGGATGGTGAACCACCCCAAGTCAAAATTGAAAAATTAAGATATGGCAAAATAAAGGAATTGTACAAAGTTAGCAAGATTCTACTGGGGAGGTAATATTTGAAACGATTCATTATGCCAACATTTGTTGATATTTTTTCGCTACATCATTAATGTGTTTTTTCCAAGTGAGCTTCTCGTCAATAGTTCCAAGAATTTAGTGCTTTTTACTTGACTTATATTGGAATCGTTTAAAATTAAAATTATCTTCTAATACAAATAATGTTATTAATGAAAAGTTGGTCTTGCATTTGCGATCATTAAAATAAAACTTATAGGATTGAAGTTGGCCTATAGGCCTAAGGACTCTAAGTATTGAACTTTCATTTCAAATGCGGGGTAACTTTTTTGTAGTGGCATCAACGTTCACGCTTCTTTCCCCTCATGAATAATTCTCATTGTCCATGGCCCCAACATGAACAGAAACGTTATGTCCCTAAAATGAGATCAAAATGTCCCGTAACACAATACCTCTTCGCCAACGATACCGGTGCCGGCAGCACAGTCGACGATGGGGGCGCTCTTGTCTGATAGCACTTTACCAAGAGCTATTGCGGTTAGTCGAGGCGCCTCATAGCCAGAGGATTTGACATCCTGCGAGGAAAAAAAGTTGTAGAACCTGAGGTTTTATAGAAAACGTACAAGAGAAAACAAGAGTTTCGTTTATGGAACTTTTGTTTTGTTCACTGGCACTTTCAGAAGTCAGAACCAACCCTATATTAAGACAAGATAAGTTTGCGGTAGCACCATATGAATAAATCTCTTTTGTGAGTATGCGTGGTTCTGAAAAGAACCGGAGGGACTCAACGTTTCGAACAGTATGCTCTGCCCGTCGTCAGGAGAATGAGGGATTCCAACGATGATGCGATGTTATAAGGATGGGTGCGGTGAGGCGTGAGAAGGATGCAAACTGGTGAAGCTCGAAACCGGTGAAGCTGAGAAGGATGCAAGTTGACTGAGGGATGCAGGATGATCACTGGAGCATGTCAGTACACAGTGAGGGGGCAAGGGGGAAGGAGCTCAGGGTATAGGGGACCCATAGGCGACAACTGAACCTAAGTTTTTCTAGGGTATAGGGGACCCATCGGACTTGGACTTGAGGATGGGGCGCCAGATGTCGCTGATGTAGAAACCGATGTCTTGGGGAACAGTGTAATGCTTGATGATCTCGATGTTCTCTGATGCGTCGGGGGTATCAGCGGTCGATGCTAGTGAGTAGTTCTGCTTGGCAACCCTATATTATTTTGAAGATAATAATTTGGGGGAGCATCATCATGCGTCCCTGAGGCTTTAAAATGCGTTTCTCGCGAAATGATTGCAGGTTTGAAAGATCATGATCCTGAAATCGTTGAAAAACTTATCATATTTCAAAATGTTTGATTGAAAGAAATTTAATGTCTTACCGTTCCCCAGAAAAAAACCCGCGGCAGATATTAATGGCTTATACGGTTACGTATTTCTAGTCGTAAATAAGTCATGGAATTATGGGATCGCCGCGCGGTGTCGTCTGGGCCCAAGGCAAGGATTTGGATTGTGTTCGTCTACGTACTGTCGTGGCGCGGGCTATAGGGACTGACTGTATTGTATAGACGAACATAATCGATATAGCGCATATCACAGCACAACCCTCTGGGAATTCAGAAGGTCATTCAAATTTTTTACTCCCAATAATTGTTTCTTCCCACTTTCACTGACAAATACTTTTTCCTTTTAGCTGGGGACGTGGTCTTCCTATTCTTTGAAGGTTTTCCCCTAACGCGTCTAACGCGACGTTAAAATAAACAGCCAATCGCAAAAAAAATATTGTACATATTATGCGAAAACAGGCATTTGATGTGGTCTCGGGATTTTCACCGATTGCCAATTTGTTCCTTGCTCTATGGGTAGACCAGGGGGTTGGGGATCGAATCTAATTAGCTCTAGACGCCGAATCTAATTAGCTATAATAATAATAACTCCATTTATTGATTGCATTTAGCCATGTCACCTCGGGGATGATTTTCAATGGGCCTATAAGTTCCCACTTGCTCATTAGGTATAACTCCCAGGAAGACTGACGAAGCTGCAGTAATTAACTACATTTAAAATGATGGCGAATGGGTTTTGGAATATTAATTAGCCAATTTGTTCACTTGTGTGAACACACGTACGCGTTGAACGGCGTGCTTCCACTATACCTTGAGACTCAAACCACCTCTACCGATGGATGGAGAATCTTTTAAGAAGAAATATGATACCAAGATCTCCCGATTCGATCCAGTATTTTTTGTCTGCAGAGATATATTTTGTGAAGCATACAACTGATCATGTGGGTATTATTACATAACTAATACCTCTATCCAATGATTGAGTAGGCTAATTCGGGATAAATGACTCCCGACCTTGCTTCACTGACACAAACAGGCTGTAGAACAAAAATACTAGACCGAATCGGGCAATCTTGGTATCATGTTTTCTTTCAACAGAATTCCCCATGCATTGGTATAGGTTGTTTGAGTCTCAGGGTAGCGGAAGTACAAGTACGCCGTTCCGTTTTTTGGGGCCACCCTGTAAATATGGCGTGATGTCTGCTGATATGACCAGTTAGGCCTACACTGAGTGACCTTCGTGGCCTTTTGTGGACTAAAACATATATATGTCTATTTATCTAATTCTTCTATCTATATCTATCAGACAAAATCAACGTTCTATATCAATAAGACAAACATTCACGCAAATCCGGGCCGCCAAATCCGCGCTGGAAAATGCTGATTTTTTTTTTCAGTACACATGTAAAATGTAGTGCAAATAATAACATCAGTCTAGCATGTTGGAAGAAAAAGTCGATCACCACGTACCTAGTACAGCTGTTTGCTTAACTTGGATTGTTGCAATAATTGTCATGCACTTTTCGCTCGACTTTCTCAAGTAAGAATTTGATGAGGTGAACTTTCAGTTTGTTGACGAGTCCATTGCTTTAAACTTAATTCAGACTTTGTAATTTTATGGGAACACTTTAAGATTTTACGTAACATTTCGTTTACAAAACAACAGGAGATGGTGTCCAGAAATTGGGTGCGCAGATAATTGAGTAGGCTAGCCTACATGTAATGTGGCAAGGCCCGGACTTCACTCACTGATGATGACAATTTCTTCGGTCTTTTTCTTCCGATTTTCTCCCCTTATTTGGCCAATTTCATCTGTATTTTGTAATTCTTTTCAATTTGTTGATGGTATTGGGCTACAAAACACTCTTCAGTCACATATTTCAAACTTTAATAGGGGTTTTGTAGCAAATACATAATTTTTATTATCTTTCAACTACATTTTGTCCACAGATGGCACTTCCCATAACTATACACTCGGAAATATCTACGGAGACCTATATGGTTCATTATTATTTCCTGAGGTTCAAGTTCAGATTTTTTTTTTGGGGGGGGGGCTGCTTTTTATTTTTCTAACAAACCTCCTAAGGGACTTTTCCTTTTCGGGACTACAGTTTCTTGGGATTTCATTTTTAATCCCACACCAATTTCCCCAGAGATGACACTTCCAAACAAAACTTTCAATTTTTACTGTTACAGCATAATTTTAGGATTTCTTTGTCATTTAATTAAAACAAATGTTGGTCGTGTAGTCTGCTTCTTGACCCACACTCGTAGGATCCTAAACTAGAGCTGCTGCATGCAGTTAGCAAATAAATAAATGACTAACAGTAAAGAGAAAAGGAGAACCTAATTCAACGTGAACATTTATGCACATTACAGCAGAAATTGCCGCGAGGGCTGGACCACGGGACCTATAAACGCTATACTATTCTATATTACTTGCTACTTCAAGTTTCTTTTCTACTGACCTTATCGTATGAACCTGCCCAATTCTCGTAATATTCCAGCATTTGGTCGTGATTCAGGCGATGAATCTTGTGCATTATCTGGCTGGTGGTCGTAGCGGCCTGTTGGGGGACTTTACAGGCTGCCATGGTATCTTCTTATACAAAAAAACACAATCCGCAGCAACTAATTAAAAGTTCAGTGTTGGAGTGAAGTTTGGTGCGTTGAAGACGGGATTAGACACACGCCACAGGGGCAGTCCTCACAGAGGCGCTATCACGATCCATTCACGTGTTGGATGGTTATCTGAGTGACCTCGTTCCCAGCCGCCAGACAATCGATGACCCTGGGAGGGTAATGTGCATATCGTATATGCTTGGTCATTTTATTTCCATCCAACGTTTATAATACGTATTATCATACACGTTCAATACGTGAAGTAATTATCATGTACAATCCTTCTCTTAACATTTTCCCTTTTCCAGTTTGCTTAAAATTACCACATATGACAATAATACTCTGTTGGATGATAAACGCAAGGTCTTTGAAAAAAAATGCAGTACGTCGTGATGCATTGTTATTTATTATGATATTTTTGTCAGTAACAAAAAATGGAACAGTAATTCATCAAAGCTTAACACTCAGTTGTATTAGATAAAACATCTGTCAAAAAAGTTAACAAGTTTAAATTTGTGGGTGTTTTTATTGATGATGAATTGACTTGGAAGTTTCACATCTATGACATTGTGGGTAAAAGTCTCCAAAAGTGTGGGGGTGATCAGTAGACTTAAACATATTGTTCCTCTTGAAGTCCTTTACACTTCATTAGTGTAAGTCCTATACACTTCATAGGCCTATTTCCTTATTTTTTTATTGTAACCACGGTAATTGTTCTGCCATTTTTTTTTCCAAATAATAACAAATTCATAATTTAGGGCTCACAGTCAAACGATTTTACAGAAGTACTTAACTATTGTTAACATTAGCAGATACCAACAAGCTTTATTTGTGTATAAGTTTTTAAATAATTTACTGCCACACTCCTACAGCCAAATGTTTATAAGTAATTGCAACTTACATAATTATAATACTAGAGCATCTTCTAACGTATATTTCCGTATACCATGGAACATAGAACATCTGCCTTTCAAAATAATATTAAATTCTCTGGACCTAAAGTATGGAGTACTTTACCGCTTTCTCTCAAAGGATCAAGTTCAGACACTACTTTTAAACGTAAACTAAAGTTATACCTTCTGAAAATATTATACCTTCTAATTTATCTAATCCTGGTTAACTCATCTTCTGTCGATTTTCCATCCTCATTGCCCGAATTTCACATTGCATATTCCATTCCTGTATTTATAACTTGTACATACACTGAATAACTTATGTTTCTAAATGTTGACTTGTTTTTGTTTTTGTATTTTATTATGTGTTTCGTTATGCATGGCATTCCTTACACAAACTTTAGCTTTTTAGGTTTTGTCTCCTCTTCTTGACTTGAACTTCTTATCTGTATTCTTTTATATCGTTTGTGATTTGGAAAAAAATGTAACCAAATGAAATGAAAATGAAAATGAAATTAAAAAAAAAAAAAAATGGACACTCATTTCTTGGCTATTTAGGCCTAAAGCCAAAAAAAAAGTCTCCGGTTTCTGGTATGCGCGCGCGTCGCCGTAGCCATGCGCGTCGGCAAAATGAAAAAGTTTTTTTTTCAATGAAAGATGATGTCTCAAAACCGCCAAACTCACTGGTTTGACTGGAATCCTGCTGCTGCACAATTTTAACGTGTTTTTAGATTGGGTTATGGTCGAGAATAAGCTTTATGTGGCCTCTCTGGACTCCCCTATATTTGCACTAAGTTTAGTCGGGCACCATTTGCAGCCATCAGCCGACATTTGAAGCAAAAAAATCAGGTAAAAAAAAAAAAAAAGCCGCGTCGCCGCACCACTTTTTGGGCAAGCTCCATACCAGAAACCGGAGACTTTTTTTTTGGCCTAATAAGTGAAACGCTGAATTCCTGACAAGAGATTAAGACGGACCACTTTGTGACTTTCCATTTTCTATTCTTTCTATTCTTTGCTTGAACCGTTACTTTCCTGTAAAAGACAGAACTAGACCGTCTATTTAGGGTAGGTCTAAAGATCTGTTTTGTTTTTAAGGCGGATGGTGAACATATCGGCCAGGTATCCACTGTGGTAAGGTATAGCCGTCTGGTCGATCAATTCCCAAGTTCCTTTGTCGAGAAGTTCTTGGATGCCATTCCCAATGACCAGTCTGTGGTCGGGTAAACCATCGTCATATTCCACTCTGCTCAGAGTAAACACCATGAAACCACCTGTCATCAAAACAAAATCCAGCTGAGTCTACAGTCAACAAAAATGCAAGGTTTGTATTAATTATACCTGTATAGAAGGTGCTTGGATCTTCATTCGCGGCGATCGATGTGTCGTAACATGACGCTGTCTGAATAATTTGACCTTATGCGCTGCAGGTATCTCAGAGGTTCTTCTTTGTTAATCTAACCACACAGGCCAATGGACTAGACCATTTTATATAATGAGGGAGTGGAGAGGTTAATAGACCGACACAGGCATATACATGTAGATTGTAGACTACAAAATGTTTGAGTTTAAGGAATTTGTTTTATTGAATAAAATAACGATATAAGGCCCAAAAAAAAGTTCGGTCTCTGGTCAGACCAAAGTTCCGGAATTGATGCGGCGACGCGGTTTTTTTTTTTTTTTTTTGGGGGGGGGGGCTTTTTTCCAGCTTGGATTGTACAGACAAGTTGGGTACTATTTTGCTTTTGTTGTGTTCTCATATACATTGGGGTCCTCCATAATTTGCCTTGGTGCCCTCCATCATTTGCCTTGGTGCAATTTCCCCAATCCTTGGTACAAAAATTTGAGGAGGTGCGGCAATAGAGGGCGCTGCTGTAGCTGCCGCGGACAATTTGAAGAAAAAAAAGGTTGATGCGCATGATTAAAATCGACGCGCGCGCTGACCAGAGACTGACTTATTCTTTTTTTGGCCTAAAGCGGCAAACATTGCTATTTTCGATAAAATTCAGAATATGAGCAATCCTGTGGACATTCCAGTGGATATGAGAGTTTATGGCGGGAAATTGTTAAGCCTTGGCGGAGGTTTGCGCTCTCTGAGTGCTTTCTAATTTTAATTTAGTAACAATGAATGCACAATGGGTTTACCCATGCCCGTCCTTGCGCTACAAACCCATTGCCTTAGCACTCCCCCTTAACACATAAGGTCTATAGTGGCCGGTACAGCCGAAACTCATGTGTAAAGTCTCCGCTCAATACGCCACTCCTAGTTTAAAACGTTCGTATACCTTGTTTGACTATTCGGTTCCATTCGGGGAATGCCGTCTGTGTGATATGGTTCATCAATAGAGCGCCAACACAAATAAGAGCGCTGCAGGAATCTGAAAAAGAAGCACGTTATGAAGATGAATCTCGTTCGTTACAAAAAAAAACCAAACAAACAAACAGACGAAACAAAATACGAATATTTTTGAGTTCAAGGTAACTTTGGTAAAAACCTTTATTCACTGGAATAAATTATCTTATGGGCGTCGCCAGGATGGGGCTGGGGGGTGGGGGGCGCTTGCCACCCCCTGGAAAAGAGAAAAAAAAGAGAGAAAAAAAAAAAAGGGAATAAAGAAGAGGACGAGTTGCGAAACCGAATTGCTATTAATTTAATGCACATTTAACAACATGGCGGTCCGCAGTGGTGTCAATGGGGATGGGGTGCGCAAATGCTCCCCCCTGCCAACCCTCGAAAAATTATAAATTGAGAATATGATAGAGAAAGTACAAGGATTTTGGGCATTAATGTGATTTGCCCTCCTCTAGAAATATTCAGACATATCGCCATTGGCGTTTCCCGCTCATTTTTTTTTAAATGTTACATTTTCCCCCATAATAGGCCTAATAAATGTCTTTCGTTGAAAACTTTAAGATTAATTTGCCTATAGTGGTCAATAACACAACAAAGAAACTATTTGCCAGAGAGGACAAATACCAATTTTTTGAGTGATACATAAAACTTGTTTGTTTACCGTCTTTAATTTCCTCGATTTTGTTTTCGTCGAATTTATTACAAATGAGCCGCCTGTAGACTCCTTTCGAGGCGCTGATGTCCAAACTCTGCTGGGAATAGTCCACGGCATCGATAGTCTTGAAACCGATGTTTTTTAACTAGCCGGTGTGAAAAGAAAAAGATTAAAGGACGGTCTTCAAAGCAAATTCTCCTAATGACTTAATTTTCATAAATTTAAAGTTATACGAGATCATTAAAAAAAACCCGTGAAGAATCATGGAGCAGTGAAATTTCATTGGAAAGACAGGGAAGCTTAATTTTTTAACGCCTCTTTTCAGTCAAAAATTATATATTGTCATTTTTTCAGTAGCCCCAACATGAAAAGAACTAAAATGAGACCAAAATGTTCCGTGGCATATAATACCTCTTCGCCCACTATACCGGTGCCGGCAGCACAGTCGACGATGAGGGCGCTCTTATCTGACAGCACTTTACCAAGAGCTTCTGCGCATACGCGAGGCGCCTCATAGCCTGAAGATTTCACATCCTGCGAGAGAAGAAGTTACGTGAGGTTTAAAAGAATGGTGTTTAAAGATTTGTCGCACCTTGCCGCAAATCATTTTTAAAGGTCGGGGTACAGAGGCGAAACGCAACACTGCAACGCAACACGAAACGCGCAGACTAGTCTATATACTACTGCATGTTATTGTACGCGGACGGGATTGGTGCCAGACTTATGTAGTCTGGCACGCGGTAACAGTAATAATGCTTGCACATGTATGCATTCGTTTCACGGAACCCACTGCGGCAGAATCTCGAGGGTTTGATACGGTAAAAAAATTAAAATTAATTAAGAATAGAAAACACATCAAAATGGGCGGCCTCGAGCCGGCCTCGACCGATTCGCCGAGGCCGGAAGGCTCCGAGGCCGAGGCCAAGGCCGAGGCCTTGCACTCCGAGGCCAAGGCCGAGGCCGAGGCCATGAAAATCGGCTTCGAGACCGAGGCCGGCCTCGAGACCGAGGCCGGCCTCGAGACCTCCAACACTGACTATAGCTATAACCACAGTTTTCCAGAATTTCTTGTTATTGTGTCATCATCTGCTTCTTGACCCAAACCAGTGGCGTAGTGAAAGCTTGGAAAGGGTGACGTAGGAGGCTATCGGTGTTTAACTCCCGCACCGCCCTCCCCCTACCCCCCCCCCCCATGAATAAAAATAGAGAAAAGAGAGGACCGAATTCAATGTTTAAAGTTTTAACATGAATTAACAGTACAAATTGCCACGAGTGGACCCCGGGCCCTAATACACGCAACTAGCTGTAAGTCAATAATTGTAATTGCATACTGACCGTATCGTAGGAATCTGCCCAATCCGCGTAATAGTCCAGCATTTGGTCGTGATTCAGGAGATGAGTCTTGTGAATTATCTGGCTGGTGGTCGAAGCCATTGTATTTTTTTATGCAGAGAAACAACTCAGTCCGCAGCAAAAAAAAGTTCAGTGTTGGAGTAAAGTAGGTAAATCGGGGATTTGACAATTGACACACGTCGCGCCGCAAGGGTAGTCTGAGTATCACCCGTTATCCACGTGGCCAAGTCCTGTATAACCATGTAACGTCTGATATGTCTAGACATGCAGGTATTATGCAAGCCGCGCGCAAGCCAATCGGAGTCGACTTTACTAAAAGGGGGGGGGGGGGGGCACGCAAGTAGTGAAGCCCGTCTAACCAGGATATTTTGCCCAGTTTGGACGGGCTCTCGACCAATCAGAAGGCTGGATTTGGCCCCACGTGACCGTCAATATAGCATAAAATGAGGAACGTGGTTCAAATGTAAAAAAAAAAATTGTATAATTCTGTCTTCTATACTGTAAACTAGTATACATTATGCACGCATGTGAGCGAGTTCGAACTGTATTATTAGTACTAAAAACAATGTGCACAGTAGTGTAAAACAATACGATATACACTGGGGGGGGGGGGGGGATGCACAATGCATAACATGCAGTTACGTAGTACATGTACAGTAAAAGGCCTATACGTTTTATATAAAGGGATTTCCAAGCCGCACATTATACCCGTGCCTGTTTCCACTCTATCATTACGAGCTCCGTGCGCTAACAAAGAGGGCGCCCCTTTACCTAACAACGACGTCCCATCAGCACGACATTTAGCTGGTTGACGCGCACCGTTCCTTGTGTGTGACGCACATACACCAGGGGATTTGTACTTTGCACACGCACAGTGGCCACGCTTCGCAGCTAATGAATTGCAATCAGGCAAAATGGCGTCGGTCGGTCACCCCCAACTTCCTTTGCCGGTGAGGGGGTACTTGTGAACGGAGCGGTATAGCCTTTGTACTCGAATGGGTGCATCGAGTTACGTCATAGTTCCTCTAACCAACGGCAGCCGGCACAAACAACGATTGCATATACGCGGGGAGATTTTGGGACAATGCACTTGACCGGTTGTCATGGTTGTTTGTCATCGTTCGATGAGTCAGCACTATGACGTAACTGGATTCACCCATCCATGTATTGTTTGTACTAGTGCAGGGCCCGTCGAAAAAGTGCTGTTCGGGAGGGGCAGAGAACAGGCGCGGTTCAAGAACCAATATTTTTTTGGGGGGGGGGGGGGCTAGCAGGGTGGATCCAGAATTCTTTTCGGGGAGGCGTGCTGAAATGTAGACCGGTTATTTTCTCCAGACACTTAGGCCTCCGGAAATTAATAGGGGGGGGGGGCGGCTCATGCCATATTTTCAATAAAGTCCTAAATAAAATCCTAAAATCAGGCACACTATTTTAACTACATATGAACCCTTGTCACGACTATTTCTTTAGGGGGAGACCGTTCGCATGTACATCACAATCTTCCTTTTTGCTATTGCAATTTTTTATGTTGTGCATTTTGTTATGCATGGCATTCCTTACACAAACTTTTGCTTTTTAGGTTTTGTCTCCTCTTCTTGACTTGAACTTCTTATCTGTATTCTTTTATATCGTTTGTGATTTGGAAAAAAAATGTTACCAAATGAAATGAAAATGAAAATGAAAAAAAAAAAAAAAAAAAATGGACACTCATTTCTTGGCTATTTAGGCCTGATAAGTGGAACGCTGAATTCCTGACAAGAGATTAGGACGGACCACTTTGTGACTCTCCATTTTCTATTCTTTCTATTCTTTTCTTGAACCGTTACTTTCCTGTAAAAGGCAGAACTAGACCGTCTATTAGGGTAGGTCTAAAGATCTGATTTGTTTTTAAGGCGGATGGTGAACATATCGGCCAGGTATCCACTGTGGTAAGGTATAGCCGTCTTCTCGATCAATTCCCAAGTTCCTTTGTCGAGAAGTTCTTGGATGCCATTCCCAATGACCAGTCTGTGGTCGGGTAAACCATCGTCATATTCCACTCTGCTCAGAGTAAACACCATGAAACCACCTGTCATCAAAACAAAATCCAACTGAGTCTACAGTCAACACAAATGCAAGGTTTGTATTAATTATACCTGTATAGAAGGTGCTTGGATCTTCATTTGCGGCGATCGATGTGTCGTAACATGACGCTGTCTGAATAATTTGACCTTATGTGCTGCAGGTATCTCAGAGGTTCTTCTTTGTTAATCTAACCACACAGGCCAATGGACTAGACCATTTTATATAATGAGGGAGTGGAGAGGTTAATAGACCGACACAGGCATATACATGTAGATTGTAGACTACAAAATGTTTGAGTTTAAGGAATTTGTTTTATTGAATATATTGTTGTTTTTTTTTTTTTTGGGGGGGGGCCTTTTTTTCCAGCTTGGATTGTACAGACAAGTTGGGTACTATTTTGCTTTTGTTGTGTTCTCATATACATTGGGGTCCTCCATAATTTGCCTTGGTGCCCTCCATCATTTGCCTTGGTGCAATTTCCCCAATCCTTGGTACAAAAATTTGAGGAGGTGCGGCAATAGAGGGCGCTGCTGTAGCTGCCGCGGACAATTTGAAGAAAAAAAAGGTTGATGCGCATGATTAAAATCGACGCGCGCGCTGACCAGAGACTGACTTATTTGTTTTTTGGTCTAAAGCGGCCAACATTGCTATTTTCGATAAAATTCAGAATATGAGCAATCCTGTGGACATTCCAGTGGATATGCGTGTTTATGGCTGGAAATTGTTAAGCCTTGGCGGAGGTTTGCGCGCTCTGAGTGCTTTCTAATTTTAATTTAGTAACAATGAATGCACAATGGGTTTACCCATGCCCGTCCTTGCGCTACAAACCCATTGCCTTAGCACTCCCCCTTAACACATAAGGTCTATAGTGGCCGGTACAGCCGAAACTCATGTGTAAAGTCTCTGCTTAATACGCCACTCGTAGTTTAAAACGTTCGTATACCTTGTTTGACTATTCGGTTCCATTCGGGGAATGCCGTCTGTGTGAAATGGTTCATCAATAGAGCGCCAACACAAATAAGAGCGCTGCAGGAATCTGAAAAAGAAGCACGTTATGAAGATGAATCTCGTTCGTTACAAAAAAAACCCCAAACAAACAAACAGACGAAACAAAATACGAATATTTTTGAGTTCAAGGTAACTTTGGTAAAAACCTTTATTCACTGGTCAGAATAAATTATCTTATGGGCGTCGCCAGGATGGGGCTGGGGGTGGGGGGCGCTTGCCACCCCCTGGAAAAGAAAAAAAAGAGAGAAAAAAAGAAAAAGGGAATAAAGAAGAAGACGAGTTGCGAAAGCGAATTGCTATTAATTTAATGCACATTTAACAACATGGCGGTCCGCAGTGGTGTCAATGGGGATGGGGTGCGCAAATGCTCCCCCCTGCCAACCCTCGAAAAATTATAAATTGAGAATATGATAGAGAAAGTACAAGGATTTTGGGAATTAATGTGATTTGCCCTCCTCTAGAAATATTCAGACATATCGCCATTGGCGTTTCCCGCTCATATTTTTTTTTAAATGTTGCATTTTCCCCCATAATAGGCCTAATAAATGTCTTTCGTTGAAAACTTTTAGATGAATTTGCCTATAGTGGTCAATAACACACCAAAGAAACTATTGCCAGAGAGGACGAACACCAAATTTTTGAGTGATACATAAAACTTGTTTGTTACCGTCTTTAATTTCCTCGATTTTGTTTTCGTCGAATTTATTACAAATGAGCCGCCTGTAGACTCCTTTCGAGGCGCTGATGTCCAAACTCTGCTGGGAATAGTCCACGGCATCGATAGAATTGAAACCGATGTTTTTTAACTAGCCGGTGTGAAAAGAATAAGAATAGAGGACGGTCTTCAAAGCAAATTCTCCTAATGACTTAATTTTCATAAATTTAAAGTTATATGAGATCATTAAAAAAAAACACATCGTGAAGAATCATGGAGCAGTGAAATTTCATTGGAAAGACAGGGAAGCTTAATTTTTAACGCCTCTTTTAGTAAAAAAATTATATATTGTCATTTTTTCCCGTAGCCCCAACATGAAAAGACCTAAAATGAGACCAAAATGTTCCGTGGCATATAATAACTCTTCGCCCACTATACCGGTGCCGGCAGCACAGTCGACGATGAGGGCGCTCTTATCTGACAGCACTTTACCAAGAGCTTCTGCGCATACGCGAGGCGCCTCATAGCCTGAAGATTTCACATCCTGCGAGAAAGAAGTTACGTGAGGTTTAAAGAATGTGCAGGACGACTGACGTCGAAAACATGACAAGAGTAAGAGTTTACAAGAAACCTGAACCAATCGTTCTCTCGTTTTGTCTCGTATTTTTGTTGTTCCTCCCTTTCAGAACTCGACCCATTATTTTGACGATACCTTTACTTAGGTTGTATTAATGTGCCTTTTAGTATGCGTTTCCCGCGAAATGATTTAAAGGTTTGAAAGATCATGATCCTCAAATCGTCGAAAACGTTAAGTTTAAGATTAACTTACCACCGGTTTCAAATCTGTGATTGAAAGGAAATTACCCCAATGTCTTACCGTTCCCGAGAAAAGTTGAAAACCCAGTTGTTTACATTTGACATGGCAGACATTTTTGGCTTATGGTTACGTATGTCCAGCCGTAAATAAGTTATGGAATTGAATCGCGGCGCGGTGTCGACAATCGACTTGTGCCGTGGCAGGTAGTACAAAGTCCTACAGTGCATCACTCTGGCCACGTGTGAGCAGTTTTTGGAGGTAATGAGCTTTGATTTTTGCTGAACTTCAAAGTACATGTATCTCTGGCATATATCAATAAAGAGAGAATATTGCTGTTCAATATTTACAACATATGCAGTTGAAATGCTTGAAAGTTGCTTTCATGGAGACACTTTTATGGAGACAATTTGGAGGACTAAAAGTGGACAACCCATTTTCTCAAAAATCTACCAGAACAAAAAACAGAAGTATGATTGAAATGGAGTCCTCTTTCTGAATTTTCATTTTTCTATTATCAAAAATTTTGATTCCTTATTTTCTTGTACACAGGCGGTCCAAAAGTGGACAAACCAAATTTCCGAATTAACGCGCAGAAAATCAGAAAGAGCGTTCACAACCAAACCAAATATCCGAATTTCTGCTAGCAGAAAATCGGAAATTGCGTTTACGTCCAAACCAAATTTCCGAATTTCTACTAGCAGAAAATCGGAAATTGATTTTACGACCAAAGCAAATTTCCAAATTTCGACTAGCAGAGAATCGGAAATTGCGTTTATGACCAAAGCAAATTTCCAAATTTCTACTAGCAGAAAAAATGAACGTTTGATATCATAAACCAATCTCATTTGTTTTTACTAGTAGAAAATTGGAGATTTTTTTTGGGCTACTCCATAAGTCGTTTGGGGTAAGAAACCCTCATCTGAGTCGAGCAGGTCGATTGATTGTGTATGTACCAAAACGTAATTGTGTTTGATGATCTCAGTCATGTGGTTGCTAAGGCAAAGCGTCTGCCGTTGTTAGGCAAAGCTAATCCGATTACGTACTTAGACGCTATGGCAGAGCAGTGAAAGTCATGCACCACAAAAAAACATGGCCTTTTGAACGTTGTGTTTCTCAGACATATATGCACAGTATGATTGAAATGTTAATTTATAACGGAAGAAGAAATTATAAACTTCATGTCAGTGAACAAATCGCCGTCATTGATGCCGAAACGTCAATACTGGTTACTGGTATAGCTGACCTTCAAGTCTGGAAGAAATCGTTCGAAAACTTCCCCAACTCTCTGAATTTATATCGATTTCTAGGAATTTCTCAAAACTGTTATTTCACGAGTAGTTGAACACTTATATCATCTAAGTATATCCCGAATTTCAGCTTAATCTGTTGTTGCAAATGCTAGTGTTACAATTTGAACCATCTCCATGGAAAATTTCGACGATGATATCTGCCGACCCAGCCACATGCATTGTTCAGCAAAACGCCTTAGGCGCTACGGTTGACCGATTTCGGCCAAGCCACACAATAACATATTGTAGATCAGCATATTCATTAGCGTCACTCTGGGTGAGTTTGTGTTACATACCCTATGTGGACTTGTGAACAAAAGAGGTCCACATAATGCAGGTTGTGTTAACCTTATGTGGACTAAGCCGTGTCCACATAAGGTTTTGCCCTTTCTGGAAAACAGGTTTAGAGGCATTTTTGGGTTAGGTTTATCTGTAGCAGAATGAAGAGAAACACTATAGGGAATCATAGAAAAAAAATTGGGTTAAAAGAGTTTTCACAGTTTAAGTAAAGTTATTTTTTTGTACCGAGTTTTCTTAACTACACGAAAACAAAGCAATGTCCACACTAGGTATGTAATGTAAGTCTGGGTGTTTCGGCGTGGGTCTGGGTATCGACCGATGGAAGCCGGCAAAAAGGGTGATATTTATCAATTAATAACTCGTAGGGAGGCTTTTCTCAATTTTTTTTTACTGCACAACATAATGGATAGGAACCTTATCATTATTCGTGAGGCTTGAAAAGATCGACAGCTATTGCAAACGTCAGTGTTACAACTTTCAAAAATGCACGTAGCCAGGCCTATTTTTCCAATTCTAACGAAAAGTAATGAACATATCACAACGATTTTTAGCACATACTTGGATCATTATACGGGAAATAAATCCTGAAAGTTGCATGAAGATGCAGTCTTCCAAACTGGAGAAATTGATTTTCGAAGATTTCACCCGCCTATGTGAACATGTCTGTGTACATGTAGTTTCATTCAAAATAAAGTGTAACGTAACCTTTAGAAATCGCCATTTGCAACCACTGGAGTGCTCTAGCCAACAAAAGTCGGAATGACATAAAAGCTATTCTTATTTATAAGCCAACGCTAGGGGCGGATCCAGTACACCCTTTTTTGGGGAGGGGGCAAAGACAAATGTGGACCCCCAAAAGTGGGTCCCAATAAAAATTAATAAGGGCTTGGGGTTCGGGGCCCGCTTAACGACCCCGAATCATTTTTGGATTGTAGATGCTCTGTGGTGCGATCTGATCACTTTCACAAAATCTTTTTGAGGAAAAGATGTTGGTGTGCGCAATGACTGCCTGTATTGGCACGTCATTTAAAACAAAATTAAAATTGGGTCCTGGGGGGGGGGGGAGGGGGGCCATGACCCCCGTTAGCCCCCCCCCCCCTGGATCCGCCCTTGGCTGACGCCAACTTGTTCTTTTATTAGAATTGCAGCCTATATTTGGCGACTAACCAAACTTCAGCCGCGTTCGCTCTGGACTTTTTTTTAAGGAGACTGAAAACAACCCCCTAGTTTGCTCAGGGTTTAGAAAAAAATCATTAGTCAAGTCCTCCCCTATCGTTTTTAAATGTTAATTTTCTTTAAGGCCTAAGATTAAAAAAAAAGAAGGGTGAGCATTTATCATTGTTGAAAAAACACCAAAATTCTGCTGATGAGGGTTTCTTACCCCAAACGACTTATGGAGTAGCCCAAACAAATTTACACCTTGATTTTCTACTAGTACAAACAAATGAAATTTGGTTCATTTTTCTGCTAGTAGAAATTCGGAAATTCGGTTTGGTCGTAAACGCAATTACCGATTTTCTGCTAGCAGAAATTCGGAAATTTGGTTTAGTCGTAAATGCAATTTCCGATTTTCTGCTAGCAGAAATTCGACAAAAAGTCAAACGAATCTTTTTCAACAACAAAAAAGACTTTTTGTCAAGTTACATACATCTGAAAGATAATGGCACTCATCAAGAAATTGTGGAAGATATCGAACAAAAATTGAATATCGGCATGGACGTGAAGAGAGCTCTAAACAGAGTGATGCCTAAATATCGTTACACATTTGACGGACTGTTCCAACAAGACGAGGATGAAGAAAACACTGAAGACGGTGATGATTAAAGACCAGCAGTTTCAAAAAGATTATAGTCTTTTAAAAAATAATGTGGAGGTGTCCTATGGAAAACAAAATACTACATAAAATAGTCACCTCTTTAGTCACTCTTACAGTAATTCCTTATGGCTGTTTCATACCATGGACGAATAAGATCATACTATTATGTTACATTGGGGGACCTGACGATGATTCAATATAGCTTTAAATAGACAGTGTATTGTAAACAGGTATATGTCAGGTACAAAAGACAAACGTTTATAAGATAAGAATAAGAGTCAAAAAAAATAATACATATTTCCATACTTCTAATGTTTTTACTCTTCGCAGACAACTAAACACATGTGTATGGTTGATAATGATAAAAAAATTCTTAAATAATCCCCGAAAAAAATACAGTGTGAATAGACTTCCTTTTAATTCTCTTTAACATGTATAGTTTATAATTCACTTTACCTGTTGACTACCCTCGACCAAAACATACCTCAACACCCCCCCCCCGGCAATGCTCACAGAACGTGCAAAAAAATATTAAAAAAAAATGGCCAAGCAAGTCTAATAGACATGAACGCTAGTAACGTCTGAATCCATTCACGGCTGGGATACCATCGATATTAGCAGTGCAGGTCATTGAAGTGATTATATAACTTTTAACTTATCCCCCTTTTGAAAGAGTGCCATGCGCTGTTTGCCGTTTAAACGAACTGATCCAATGCATTCATTGCAAGTGATGGTCCCTGAGGCTTATACATGTACATCCCATGTACAATGAGCGAGCTATTCAGTGCTATGTCCCATATTCCAGTTCAAGTCTTCCTCTGTCCGATATTCCGGTTCAAGCCTTCCTCTGTCCGATATTCCATCTAGAGGGTGGCCCCCCCCCCTTTGTCCGATATTCCAGTTCAAGTCTCCCCCTTTGTCCAATATTCCAGTTCAAGTCTTCCTCTGTCCGATATTCCATCTAGGGGGTGGGTCCCCCTTTTGTCCAATACATTTTTTAGACCCATCCTTTGTCCGATAAAACTTACATACGCCAATGCTCTCTTTTATTATGCTAACATAATCCATTGATATGGTTATTAGTTTCATTGATAGGCAAATGAGTCTATTGTTTTTGTGCATTATGCATACAATTCTTTTGTCTTGTTTTCTCAAGACCCAACACACTTCTTCGATACAGTATTTTTTTCTGCAGATATATTTTGTGAAGCATACAACTGATCATGTGGGTATTATTACATAACAAATACCTCTATCCAATGATTTAGTAGGCTAATTCGGGATAAATGACTCCCAACCTTGCTTCACACAAACAGGTTGTAGAACAAAAAATACTAGACCGAATCGGGCAATCTTGGTATCATTTTTTCTTTTAACAGAATTCCCCATGCATTGGTATAGGTTGTTTGAGTCTCAGGGTAGCGGAAGTACAAGTACGCCGTTCCGTTTTTGGGCCACCCTGTGTATATGGCGTGATGTCTGCTGATGACCAGTTAGGCCTACATTGAGTGACCTTCGTGGCCTTTTGTGGACTTACACATATTTAATTCTTCTATCTATATCTATCAGACAAAATCAACGTTCTATATCAATAAGACAAACATTCACGCAAATCCGGGCCGCCAAATCTGCGCTGAAAAATGCGGGAAAATGTATCAGTACACATGTAAATGTAGTGCAAATAATAACATCAGTCTAGCATGTTGGAAGAAAAAGTCGATCACCACGTACCTAGTACAGCTGTTTGCTTAACTTGGATTGTGCAATAATTGTCATGCACTTTTCGCTCGACTTTCTCAAGTAAGAATTTGATGAGGTGAACTTTCAGTTTGTGGACGAGTCCATTGCTTTAAACTTAATTCAGACTTTGTAATTTTATGGGAACACTTTAAGATTTTCCCTAACATTTCGTTTACAAAGTAACAGGAGATGGTGTCCGGAAATTGGGCGCGCAGATAATTGAGTAGGCTAGCCTACATGTAATGTGGCGAGGCCCGGACTTCACTCACTGATGATGACAATTTCTTCGGTCTTTTTCTTCCGATTTTCTCCCCCTTATTTGGCCAATTTCATCTGTATTTTGTAATTCTTTTCAATTTGTTGATGGTATTGGGCTACAAAACACTCTTCAGTCACATATTTCAAACTTTAATAGTTCGAATTGTCGAAATGCACGATTTAGACTAGGGTCAACCCCATGCCGTGTCATCGATGATCTGGTGCAATAGCACCGCGCCGCCAAGGCAGAAATCGGTTCGTTTCGGCAATATCGCCATCTTTATTTTGTGTCGTGACTTTTTCTCTCACACATACAAATCAACCACAAAAAACTGCCCCCTCTATATCTGAAACAAAATATTTGCTAACTTGCAACACTGTCTTCGGTTGTTCAGCCAAGTGCAAAAAATGTTGGCCTAACTGGACATTTTATTGAAATTATTGTCCCAAACTATATACAATGGGCTTGGGCCTGTTTTATCGCCGGTTTTGTAGTTTTGAGCCGGTTTTCTAGTAAATACATAATTTTAATCTTTCAACTACATTGTTTCCACAGATGGCACTTCCTATAACTATACACTCG